TCACTTTTCCTGCCTCGTTCAATGGCTCATTATTAAGACTTTATCTTCCGGTTGTTATTGCATGTTCTCTCTCAAAGTTGTATGTTTATAGACACTGAAGAATTCTTCTTTGCTTTCACCAGCTGTAAACTCAGACAGGGAAGTTATGGTTGTTCATCAACCCCTGGACGTTAGACTTGTTCCAGAACCTGAGTGTGTGTTGCGTGCACATACGTTTTACAGATCTGACTTACTTGTATGTAGATTGTTGGTTCCTTCCCTCTCAGGCAGATGCACACCCACTTTAAAGGACGCCCCCATAAGGTCGACTCTTGTGACATTAGTTTTGCGGAGTGCATTAATTCTTATTCCCCCCCCCCCCCACACAAAAGAGTCCCAGAACCCACATGGGGAACTGTAGAATTCAACACTATCTGGGACTGAAAGAGTTAAAATGCTGCCGCCAGTGGATGCCCAAATGTTTGTTCGTCCTTTGTCCATCAATTCCCTCAGACAATATCGGCAGCTTATTTTTTAATAAAGGAAAAGGAGCCCATCACAGACACACATTCCATGCCATAAGACAAAGTGAGATTGTCAATTACTTTCTTCGCTGCCTTTTCTTAACAGACATTAGTGAAAGACAAATTGCTGCAAGATGGGCCTACGCGCCCAATTTCTATCCTTTTAAAATAATGTTCACTTGTTTGTGGATATGCACATCATCCACAGTTACACTGGAGGCCCCAATTTCTTCATTGGTGTGACTCTCTCACCGCTGGATTTTCAAGAATGTTTTCTTAATTGCTCGCCGCAGAAACTGGACCATGAGAGAACATCTTCTCTAACCTTTCAATAATGCTTTCCTTGTTAGTTAGCATCACCAGGCCCCATTGTGGGGGAATCGACTAACTGGGGGCTTTCTTCAAAAGCGGAGTGCATCTGTCCTAGCGGCAAGTAACAAACCACTGCTCGTATATGCTACCCCCCTCCCCCCCAAAGCATAAACAAAGGTAATAACAAACAATAATTTATTTCATCTCCCACAACTATCAACCACACAACACTGATGTTAATTTTGTACAAGCGCTCACCAGCAACAAAAAACACATCCAATCAAACATCTACTGTACAGTCACAGAAGCTTCTGTTGCAGTGTGTGTCATCTAAAGTGCACCCACTACTGATCTTAAAGTTGCAGGGGGAGCCACATTGGTTATGAGAATATCAGCACAAGCAATGCTTTTTTTTTCTGGTGGCACGCCAGAGGAAGAAATAAAACCCCTAGGGTGTTTGAAGACAGAACAGCTGAAAACACTAACTGTCTATAAAAAAGTTCTATAGAAAAATGTTAGCTAAACGAAACAGAAATTAATACAATTATTCAACCCTTCAGGAAGCAGGACAGCGACACTGGTGTTAAATCCCCACCACTGCAGCTAAACAGTGACATAGGTCCCACATCATACAGCCTGAGATTGGGACCAGGAAATGTCTGAGAAGTCAAGGCGAGACCTGCATCCTCCTTACATCCCTGCTGACATCGTTCACAAAAGACCATATGTCAACTGCCAAATCTGTATTTACCAATTTTTACAGTGATGTGGGGAAAATGAGAATGGACCCACTGCCTGTCCAATAAGCATGTTGTAGCGTAGGAGTCGACTAACGGGGCTTCCTTTGAACTCGGGAGTCACAGTGGCCGAGCGGCTAGACGCTCACCGCGGATCGAAAGGCCTTGGGTTCGCTCCCTGGCGAAGCCGGACTTTTTTAAAAAAATGACCTTGGCTCCCAGGTTGACCCAGCCTTGAGTGGGTACTGGGTGCAGTCCCGGGAAAGTAAAGGCAGCCGACGTGATGCTGACCACATCACCCATCTTGTGCCGACTGGTGTATAAAAATATAGGTCTAGCCCTATATGCCTAAAGGCGTGGAAAGGGTCCTTTACTTTTTTTTTTTACTCCTTTGAACTCTGAGTGCACCTGCCCAAGCAGTAAAGAACAATCAACAGCATAATTAGATTTTTTTTAAACCCCGTTATTTCAAAGTAATTCTGTAGTACTAATCTTAAAAATACAAATGCTTTTTTTCCCCAAGCTACATAAAGTGGTTTGCGGCATGATAATTCTGACAACTTTGACAAGAAATCAGAAGTATATCAACTTTATTCTGTCTACTTCTTTTAAATATTCACCAGAAATCACTGTGAATTTTTTGGGGGTCAAAGTGCAAAATATTTACCAAGAACAAAATACATACCTTATTAAGGTTCAAACCTAGCTTTCACAATGCAATCCCTATACTGAAAATACCTTTAAACCAAAACCACTCACAAATTTATTTAACTATATATATGACTAAGAAAAAAATAAAGAAGCCCAACACCGTTAAAATTAGAAAACTGCCAAGTTACACGAGTCAATGATAAATGAAATGTCAAAGAGGTGCTGATATACAATCACTGCTATGACAGGTAACGAAATCACATCATACATTCACTCCTAGATGCTGCTATCAGGTTTAATGATTAACATTTACAAAAATATATATATATTTATAAGTGTATGGTGTCAGAATGAAACACATGATACCAGACAGCAAAATGGCTAAGTATAAACAGCCAATTCAGCAGACAAAACCCTTGTAATGATGACTGACCAAGAAAAGAACACCCTAATGCTGTTTCCTTAATAATATACCATCCTTTCCTTTGCTATCCATCTGCACAAAGGTGTCGAAGTTTGAGACGACAAGACTGGCAGAGATTTTTAAAAAAACCGACAACTTTATGTCACCTGAATTATGTAGCTTTATCTTAGTTTCTTAATTCTCTTTTAGAAAAAAGAAAAACTTCCTGGCCCCTTAGAAAAGGCTAGTTTAAGCCCAGTTCTGAATTTTTATCATTCTGAGATCTAGTGACCAGGACTTCCAGCTTGAAATCTGATACATCTTACACATATAATCATCATGAGCCAGGTCCTATGTAGTCCCTTTGCCCATGCCATAGGGCTACTTACTGCCCCGACAACTTACCCCCACCAAGAACTGTCATGCCTTAACCCCAGCTCCCATTACTGTCCTCTCCAAACCATTATGTTGTATAATATAACCTACAGAATTTCAGTTGTATGATAAATGATACTGTTTCTTTTTCAAGCAAAGTCTATGATATTAAAAAAATGTCTTGTGCCCCTGAGACCAAAACTTGCAGTGTCTGGCAAAAAAAAAATCCAAAGTGGATTTCAAGTAAATTCCTCCACCAAAAATGTATCTTTGATACAGAAACTTGGGGTTTCCATATTAAAAATAATTAGCACAGGCTAAAATGTGGCATCTTGCACACACACTCAGAGAAACTTGACACAGACTCAAGTTTGAACACCTACACATAAAAGCTCAACATGGATTCAAATTTGGTCTCCTGCATGTTATAATCTCATGACATACTTAAGTTTGTTATCCTGAACACATAAGCTTGACAGATTCAAATTTGGTATCCTGTACAACAGATAAGTTTGGTATCCTGCACAATAGGCTAAGTTTGTTATCCTGCACCTTAAAGCTCAACAGATTCAAAAGTTTCCTTTCACGCACGAAAAAGCTCAACGCAGATGCATATTAGTATTCTGCACATATAAGCTCGACAGCCTTACGTTTTGAGTCCTTCGCACAGAATATAATCTTATGATGGACTCAAGTTTATTAGCCTGTTTACAGAAGCTTGACAGACTCAAGTCTGGAATCCTGCAAAATATGGATGTCCATAACAGAGGTGCTTGGAACAGACATATTTGTTATTTTGCACAGACATAATATTAAGATGTTTTATAACAGCAGATAATCGCAGACTAACTGCAAGACGCACACAAATGTTTGCGATTATTTTATCAACACACCAATCTTTGCTAAGAATGGCATGGCCACACGGCTTGGAATGGAGTTGTATAATGACAGCACAGACTCTTGACTTCATTTGTAACCAACATGTCTTCTGCTCGGATGCTACCTTCCACATACTGATAATTCAAAACGTCGCCACACAGCAAATACACCAGGAACACATACAAAAGAAAACGATGAAAAGCCAGGTTGACTTGTGAAACTTCTGTTGCAGATCAAACAATGGCATCAATGGAAACAAATAAACGGCCGCACACACAAACAGGTTTGATTCTTCAAAGATACAAGCAAAGAAGGACATGCTTTGCCAAGATTCTGACTTCTTTGCCCACAGTTGCTGACCTGAGGTGATCCTAGTAACAGCCTGAAAATAGAGGAAAGAAGAAACCAAGCAAATAGATTAGTAGCCTGAAATCCTTGGGGGAATACTATACTATAACAAGATGAAATTGGTGGCAGGTGGATAATTATATATTAACATGATACAGCCAGAGCAGAAAAGTATATGTTAACATGTGAAATCAGAGAAGAAAGACTACTGTTTTTTTTTTAAAGTCACCTTATGGTGTGTTTTTATTAGGTGGGAAATCTTTTATGAAGAAAAAAAAAAAAGACTGGCACGGATGCAGATGCAAAAGACTTACATTTTAACAATAAAAAAACCTAAGGTATATACTTATGTGCAATTTGAACAATGCCATTAATTAAATTACAGATTTTAAATTTTAAAATTACATTCCTTTCAGTAGCTATGCATTTCTTGAAAAAAAAAAAATGTTAAAAGGGTGAAAGAGGAGCAAAGTACAGATTAAGTTAATGAAATAATATAATAAAAAATTTAATTAAACATGGTGAGCATAAAAACATAGTAATAACTTAATGAAATAATATAAGAAAAACTATAATTAAACAAGGTGAGCATAAAAACATAACAAAGTGAAATAAGTATTTAAAAAAATGAAACTAACAGATATCTGCAGATTCAAATAGTGGGTGGATCGTGCCTGTGCCAGAGGTCACAACCTCTGATTTTTCCCGGGACCACAAAACGGAGGTAAGTGTTTAAGAAAAAAAAATGCGTGTTGATGTTTCAATGGCTGGTGGCTACCTACTTGAGCGAGGTCAAGCATCCTGAAGTTCTGGGGGAAGTGGGGTCTTCGGATGCTTGTTTTCAAAGTGCTGTTTGAATGTCTTAGGGTCAGGCATCTGTGCCTGTGGATTCAGAGGGCAGAACAGTTAAAAGAATAAAATGCCAAAGTTCTCAATCTAAAAAAAAGTGATCCTGTATTTATCCACTAGATCTTGGTGCCAACAAAGAGTTCCCATACTGATGCAGCCTGCTGATTACAAGTATGCATGTCCCTCAGCTCACTCCTAGCTGGATCATTCTCTCCATATTCAGATGCTCTGTCTATTCTGCTGCACTGTTTACTTGATCCCACAGAGCTTTCACTGTGTGTCCTCTCTATCGAAGTAACTCGGACCCTCAGCCAATTTAGTGTTTGTTGCTCTCGAATGGAGCTCTTTCAACCAAACTTCTTTACTGTTTTCTTCTTCTAATGAAGCCATCTCCACAGTGGAAGCTGACTGCTGTAAATACATTTATACACTGTTATCTCTGGGAACATTATATCGTGAGATCTAAATCTCGGACTGTGACTCATACCTCGGCTTGAAAGCCATAAAAATTACTTCTTTTTTTCTGAACTGACCCTAAAACAAAACTGAAAACTCTGGATTATAAAACATAAAATTCATAAGTCACAGGACCAAACCTATATTTCTCCGAGCCTAGGGGTTCAGGCAGATTCTATTTGTTTTTTACATGTGCATCACAGTGAGAGCTCCCCCCCCCCCCCTTTCGCTGCCACTTGTCTATAGTTTCCAAACTCCTACAATTTCTCTATTCTACCTAGCTGCTAATTCACCTACTCAATCTCAATTGTTTCTTCAATAATATTTAAATGGAATTATTATTCAATATAGTAAATATCTTACTTAAATCTACTGCATGGTGCAGTTAGCTGGACAATGAACAAACAACTAGAAAGTGAATATAGTCTCTGGAGATGCGGATATACAGAAGAATTATTTTAATTCATGGTAACAAAAACCATCAAATACAGAGGTTCTGGAGAGACAGAATTAAAAAAAAGTTACTGGAAAAAATAGCGCATCTGAAATATTTCAGCCATATTGAAAGATATACTTTAAAAACAACACTAAGAGGAAGGTCGAAATAAGAAAGCAAAATGTAGACAACAATTCAAGAGGGGTGACAATATTCAGAGATGGACAAACAAAAGTAAGAAAGAATACAATAAAGACTAGAAACAACAATTCAAGAGGGGTGACAATATTCAGAGATGGACAAACAAAAGTAAGAAAGAATACAACAAAGACTAGAAACAAACTGTCAAGAGATTTATTGCAGTCAACCTTTACTGTGAAGATGAAAGCTGATTTATGCCAATCACAGAGACAAATCTTGAGGGCTCGGAACGCCTAAGTAGTTTCATTTGGCGTAGCTAGTTGCGTTCAATTATACATCGCTAGAAAAGACCAATATTATGTAGGCTAAGACAAGATACAGAAAAAATGCAGAACAAATACCAAGCACTGATAACAGAAATATGCCATAATGTGATTCGCTAGAACCCATCCCGAGGTTCAGTAACAAACTCCGGGAATCAATTCCAAAATTCAGTAACAAACTAATGTAAAAAGATCTTTCAAAACAACCTTTGTGTGCCAGCAACTCTGACAGAATGGGCTACAGAACACAAGGAATACCAAGGTAAAGATAGACCAACAACATCTATCAATGATACCAGCATATCATAAAAAAACTGCACTTCCCTACAATGTCTTTACTGGTATGAGGAACAAAACAGTTCCATCTACTGGCTCAACAGTGTTCTATGTTATAATTCTTTGGGGGGAAAAACATAAGGTGAGAAAGAGAGTTTGGAAGAGCTATGCAGAACCAGTCATAATCAACAGAAGTGAATGATTTCAAGTCAGTAGAAAAATTATGAGGATGTCGAAGAAGAATAATGATAACATTAAGGAACAGAAAAAGTGCGATGAAGATGTCTTGAAAAAAAAAATGAACTTATGAAGAGAACTGATTATTCACATTAGAAGTAAATGTAAACTCTCCACGCACATAATAAGAAAAACAGGAACATATGACAATGGGAAAGTTGAAAGATCAAGAAAGGCAGTGAAGGACCTGGTGAGAAGACTTTAACGGCCTGGCATATGTGCCAGAAATAACAGGCAGTATGTGAGACAGAAGGCTGAGGACAAATATGATTACCAACGCCCTATGGCGTGGGACTACAGGAAAAAAAGTGGCTGCAGCATGTACCTTGCAGACCGGGCACATGTGTGTCAAGGCTTTGGCAGCTGCTTTCTTTTGATCCTGGAATGAGGTAGCCCCCTTCTTCAGGTCTGCAGCTTTCTTAGCTGCCTTCTGCTGGGACTGGATCTTCTGCTGACCTCGCGCCATTGTCCCTGCAAGCAAATTTGCAACAACAATCACTTACATAGTTTTCCAACAATTTGAATGGGGACAGCAACGTCTGAGCTCCTGCATTCAACTTTGGCAAGATTCTCCTGTAGTTTACAGCAAGGCTGTGACAGCTGCACCTTTCAGCCAAACATATCCGATTTCAGCAAAGTCTTCAATTGTTCACCTTTTTCTAAACTGTTTTTGCTGATGCTATTTAGTGATTTACTTGAAATGTTTACTTCGGTATTTTATGTCAACTGTACTCTACATTTTACTGGGACACAACCCAACATCTATTTTTTGTGTGTGACAAGGTTAGCCACACATAATCTTCTTCTTCTTCTTCGCGTTCACCAGCTGTACACTCTGGTGAAAAGTTCTGGTTGCTCGTCCACTACTGAACTGCAGTCCTGCTCCAGAACCTGAGTGTTGCGTGTGCATCAGTTTTACAGATCTCATTCTCTTGAATATAGACTGTTGGTTCCTTGCCTCTCCGGCAGATGCACTCCGATTTCAAAGGAAGCTCCCCAATTAGTCGACTCTTACGACATGCTTTTGGGGAGGCAGTGGGTCTATTCTTGTTTTCCCCACAATGGGGCCCCGGAACCCACACGGGGGGCTACACATAATGTATCTATGGTGGTATCCCATACATCACTGAAGTGTTAATATCTCTAATTAGAATTGACCTATAGGCTTCAATGAGGTTGCTATGTTTTTCTCCACTAGGTACATTTTTTTTCCTCACTTCAAAAAAAAAATAAAAAAAATAAAAATCATTGCAATGAGCCCTACAAGGATTGGATATTTTAATCCCTATCCATCTGTAATGGCTTTATACATTTAAAAAAAAAAAAAACAAGACATAAATTTCACTAGCATCCGACCCTTTTAGTCCTAGGAAATGCATTCACAGCCTAAATGGTTACAACCCAGCAGCTCAAATGCTATGTGACGAGGGAATGTTATTAATTTACGACTGACCGGTAATAAAACGCAGACAGCTCAAATTTAACTCCCTTTCGGGTTCTATGTGTCTGATATGAGGCGTGCTCATTTGGAAATGTTAAAAGCTGAAAACAGTGCTTTTGTAAGGTTTACAGAGTTACTAAGTGTGTTTGAAAACAATATGGCTACCGAGCAGTATTCTACATGCATGCCAACATAAGAAGCCTTAAATTAAAAAAAAAAAAGCGTGTTTATTAAATTTTTCTGAAGTTAGATAGATAACGTTGCAAAGTAGACTTGTTTCAGCCATTTATAGTCACACTTTGATGAGGGATAGGTCTAATGGGTACCTCACACGACGGGTACAGTGACAGCTAATACTGGAAAGTTAGCTGGCAATTTTCTTCAGTGTAAGTTAGTTCTAGTGCTATTCCCCTTATTATTTGGTTTAGGAACATAGCTACAAAACTACAGCAAATTGAGTGTTATATAAACTTCGATTTGTCTGAAGATACTGTTTTGTGAAGTCAGTTCTCTTTACCGCAAAATGGTGCCCTGTTAAGTATTTCAAAAGATTCTCTGTAACAAAATTAAATATACAGATTTAGTTTATATATTACTTATAGTATACATTACTAAGTGGTTTATGTCAGTAGTGATTCATTCTGGATACATTTCAATGAGTTTTCCTTGAGCACCATGGTGGTAAGTGGAATATTATTATTTAATTTTACTAATTTCTGTAAACTTACTGTCTGTTTATTTAATTAATAATACTAGCGACTACGGTGTTCGGCAATTTGCGGTCTTTTGGCAATTTCTGTTACCATGGAAACCGTTCGAAACTTGTTTGGGAAATGTCGACTTGTTACGGGATGGGTCTCAATCTCTCATGAAATTTTGCGATTGGTGTGATTTTCACCAGCTATAAATAGCTGAAAACGGCGGGAACGAACCCGATTAACAGCGCATGTCTACGACAGCTGAACGTCCTCTGTTTTTCTGTTACATCAGTTTTATTAAAAATAGCAGTAAGTATTCAGGGTTGGCTTTAGGCTTTAACATTACTCGTACTGGTAATGCTAGTTATAATTGAATTCTCCGTCCAATTTTACATTTGTAAATACAATTTCTTTCTTATCAGTGGCTTTTTAGATTTACAGTGACATTTTTCAGGCAATCGCTATTATGTGGCTGTGTCTCATTGTCTGCCATTTTGTCCAATGCAAACAAAGCCAAAACGATAAGTGAGCAGTTTGGTTGCGCAGAGAAAACCTCTTGTTTCTGGGTGCAAGTTTTTAACAGCTGTTTTTTTTACATCTCATCTCCACAAAAACCTAAATATCTCAGCTCAGAAATGACATACAAGCTTAAATGAGGTACCATTGGAAAGAGATTGTTTACAGCTATCTAACTGTGCTGGTTTTATTGGTGTAGAGGGCATTTTAAAAATTTGACTAAAGTATCTAATAATAATTACTTACGCAATAATTTGCTGTAGCCAGTATGTATTGTATTATTATTATTCCCCAACAATTCCTGGTCACTCTGATGTATAATATGTATATGTTGCGCGGCAGTTGAATTAGTATGGTCTGTTTTAATGTGTAACACCTGTGAACATAGAAAATTGCATTACCACCCTTTTGCCTTTAGTTTTAGTCTTAGTCTCTGATGCTAAACCAAACCCCCTGGGACTCAAAGAGTTAATAAATAAAAACTTTGTAAATTGTGGAAGTAAAATTTCTTCTTCTGAGCCAATTCGTGATGCTTGATTAATGACTAACTGTAAACATATTGATTATTCTATATGAATTATATTTAAGAACTGCATGTCACGACATCGTTTACGTCAACAACGGCGCGTCACCGTCAACTCAACGGACGCAACAAATAATGACATGTTTCTACTTTTAAAATGTCAATTAGTAATTACCCAAGAGAACCTTGCAATTCTTTGACTGAAGTGAGAAAAAAAAAAGTATCTAACGGAGAATAACACTAACGTATCAAGTAACTTAATTTATTAAAGACAATTAAACTTAGTAGAACGTGAGGGAAGTTGCAACGCCAACACACATTGTTCACAAGCCAGTGTGTTCTCTTCCTCTTGACTGGTGTGGTTTTGTGACTCACCGACTTTTGAACACAAAATCAACGACTTAGTCCACAAACAATATCTTAATTCTTAGTTACTTCCAAAAATGAAACCTATAAAGAAGTGTTCAACGACCACGATTAATTAACAAGTAGTAACAATTTTACAATAAATACCTATTCACGGAAATTCCAGTGAGGATTACGGCTTGACAACGTCCAACGCGGCTCCCCGTCCGTTGTCGCTTCACTTCTGTCAGGCTTGCTGCACACGGCACTCGGAACTACCGGTGTCAGATCGGAAATGAGCCCGAGATAAATTACCCGGTCTCCCCTCTACACAGGGCCTGGCCTGGTTGCTTCAGTTCCCGCCTTTGTTGCCACGGCTGGCCACAAACCAGTTAAAACAGGCTGCTTACTGTGAACTTTCAACTTTTCAAAAATGTTTTCTTAGACCAGATGTACTCACCAAAGGAGTCCTGCCGCTAGCGCCGGTCAAATGAAAGGAATTGGTTATAAAACTGTTTTAAAACAAAAAAGCTGAGTTAAAAAATATAATTAGTTAATAAAATCAGGGGTAAATAATTAAAATTATTTGGCCGCGAGATCTCCTTGTTCATAAGGTGTTGGATACAAAAAAAAAGGGGAAGGGGGGGGGGTGGAGACTAAGAGGCACCTGAACCCGAAAATTCTAACACCTTGAGCGCCCCATAAAAATGTAAGTGAACACTTATCTGTTCACCACCCCCTTCCCTTTTCCCCCAACCTGTATACAAGTTTTTTGTTGTTGTTGATAATACATATCATATTATTTCAAACACAGGATAATATTTATTTGCTCTTCGGCAAATAAACACCTGAATCTTAGAGTTCAGGTCCCCGGGACAATCACATAATTTTTTTAGGGCATTCGGTCCCCCCCCCCCTCCCCAAGGCCTTCTTACAGAAGGCTTTGCTCAAGCACCTCCCTAGTATATTGTTTTAAAGGAACTAAGATGCACCCTTTATTAACCATTTATAGAAATGATCTTTAAAAGTATATTTTTATGCATTTCATATTATTTCACATATAGTATTATATTTATTTGCAATTATGCATCAATTATTAATAATGAAAATAATGTGTTGACTGACAAATCTTCTTTGCGCTTCCCGGCTGTGAGTTCTGGTTCTTCGTCCACCTCTCGACTTTAGTCTGGTTCCAGAACATGAGTGTTGCAGTGCACATCCGTTTAACAGATCTGACTTATTTTGAGCAGATTGTTGTCTGACTTGGTGCTATCAAGACAGTGTCATTAGCAGTACGCACCAACCACAATTCCTGACATATCCATGCTAGATCTCATATTATATATATATAAATTTTTCTTCAAATATATTCATCATCATCATGTAGCACAGGGCTATTCAATTGGCGGTCCGCGGGCAAAATCTGGTCCGTGGTGGCATAGCAAGTGGCCCGCGAATCATTCCCAGTTGTAATGTATTAGGAATCTTTCTATGCTTAGGCTCGGACATCTGCCCCGTGACGATCCACATTTTCAAAATGTTGGCCCCTGAGTACATTTAGTTGAATAGCCCTGATGTAGCAGGTCCTGTGCAGAACGTCGCTATCGTCACGGTCTGTCTGACAGAAACTCAGTCTCTAGTCAATTCGCCCGCCTCGTGAAATTTCATGTCCAGGGATTCATTTATATCCTCTGTCTATCTTTGTCTTGTTGGCCCCTCCTTCCTGTTACTACGCCTCCTAGTACCCCCCCCCCCCTTCCAATCCACCGCGGCACTTGATATGGCCAATATATTCTAGCATCTGAGATAAGGTGTGTTGCTGTTTATTAGCCAGTCTTCCTTGATGTTCAGATCTTGTATATTGTCAGTGGTTCTTTTCTTCTTTGTCCACGGCATTTTGAGAATCTTTCCAATAGCTTTTCAACTCAAATCTTGGTAATCTTAGTTTCAGCTTCATAGCAAACGGGTCACCCAATGGTTGCTTCACTGCTGTGCCAACGAAAAACACACAGAATGTGGAAAGATTGACAGACTGCTGTCTCAGCATATGCACTAGCATATACACGCATTAAAAGCATAAGGTATCCATCCGAAGTACTAACACAAACAGTCCGACATTAGAAATGCAGTTCATCATCGATGGTAGCAGAAGTCACTAACAGTCACTAATGACACCACCAATATTGCGACAACAGGCATTGCGATATTTTCTGAATCTATAGTTCACAAGACCACGTTGGTTACAGTCGAAAACATTCCAAATTAAATCCGAAGCTCACGGTGTCACGCCATGCATTCAACTCAGAAGCTGGGCGATAAAACTATATCCTTTCAGTCTACAAATGGAGCAAAAATGCAACGGCCACTGTCTGGCAAAAGCACACAATTTGCAACGACTCAAAACAGTGGCCGTGCCTAGAGTCCATTTTGATCGGAAGACTCAAATATCCATATTTTCCTCCTTAAGGACTAGGAGATATATATTACTATTACCATTTTTAGTTTTATGCTCTTAAAGTAGAATTAAACCCAACTGAGCCTCCATTTGGATAGCAAAATTGTTAATTAAAGCGTGAGGCTGGTTCGTTGGGAGGCTGAGGTCATCCACCTCCGATGTCTTCTGGGTGTCTGCGCCTTTGGATGGAGATACTTCATCGACCTCGTATGTCTGCTGTACAATGTTTACAATCTCTCTGCTATTCAAGGCTACTCTATACAGGCTGAGTTTACACAGTTGATTTCTGTTGCAATTGTTAATTCTCTCTCTCTCTCTCTCCTCTCTCTCACTCTTCATCTCTCCACATACTTATTTTGATGGCATGATAATTAGATGTATCAAGATATATGATAGAGGATACACATGATGAAATAAACGCCCAAATATTATACTATAATATAGCACTACGTAAATTCAATCTTATAACCTAATACGGACATCTTTGCCTTTCCTATGGAACAAACATAAGGTACCCCAATACTGGACACTTCAGTACTCTTTGAGACCGGTGTATCTTCTTTCCCGTTAGGTTAATGGTGTCAACACTTTAAACATAGACTGAGCTGGGATATCTGCCTGTCTGTCTCTGGACAGGCTGTAGATAGACCCCCCACAGATGAAAACCAAATTTGAACTGGCTGCCAGTTCGATCTAGCCAAAAAGGTACCTGTAATGTTCTGGTAAGTAAAGTCGGCAACATAAAAATGACACTGTCATCTACCAAGTGCTGACTGGTTAATACAAGTACAGAACTAATATCATACAAACAGTTCGTTTCACTGAGGGAGAAGGGGGAGGGAGACGAGGGGGAAGGAAAGGATATTGCCGATTTTTACTAACATTATACAGTGAGAAATTTGGTCAGGTTTGTTCAGTCTGAGCAAATCACCCAAAAACAGAATCAGTCAGCTGTATCGGATGCTGACAGATTTGTGTGCATCACGCCAACACTTCTATTTATAAAAATTAAAAAAATAAAAAAAAAATAAAAAAAATGCACTAACCCATAACGTCTCTCCGTCTTTTTATAATCACATCCTTATTAAAAAATTAATGTTCAATAATTTGTATTTTTCACTGGTATGTATTCTATGTGTGTAAGGTGTCATACTGGGTAAATGTATATGTAAGTTTCTGTGAGTTCATTGAGAACAAGTAACGTATATTTTCAATGAGGGAGAATCAGAGCTGGAAAAGAATACACGCCGTAGAATAGTAACTATAATCCCGGTTAGGAGGCTATCTGTTGGGGGGGGGGGGAAGAGTAGTATTAGTAGCAGTATAAATTGTTGGTGTATTAATTTTAGTATCATTAGTTATTGTTGTTGTTGTATTATTTGCAGTAGTAGTAGTTGTAATAGTAGTAGTAGTAGAAATAGTAGTAGTAGTTGTAATACTACTAGTAGTAATAGTAATTGTTGTAGTGTTCGTCGTTGTGGTAGTAGTAATAGTAGTAACTGTAGTAGTTGTTGTGGTCGTTCGTCGTCGTAGTAGTAGTAGAGTAGTAGTATTTGTTGTTGTATTAGTTGTAGCAGTAGTTGGAATAGTAGTCGTAGTTGTATTAGTTTTAGTAATAGTAGTAGAAGTAGTAGTAGTAGTGGTAGTAGCAGTAGTAGTAGTGGTAGTAGTAGTATTAGTGGTAGTAGTAGCAGTAGTTGTTGTTGTAGTATTCGTTGTAGTAGTAGTAATAGCACCTTTGAGGACTAACTAAAGCACACGTATTCCAACAACAAAAGGTTGTCATCTGGAGGCCGCAGATTCGAAGCCAAGAAACGCTCAGTATCTTTCAGTTGTCTAATGTGTTCTATAATCTATATTTGTTATGAGTCCTTTACTTATATACTCGTTAATTCATTTATCAATTGTTTGAGCAACTATCTAAGACAGAACACTTACAATATATAGTCACGTGGTTTATGGGCGTGAAATGTGAACAGAAATATCATGGGAAGTAAAGGTGGGCGATGTGGTGATGACCACATCACTCATCGTGGCGACTGAATTATGGAATACAGGGTTAACACCATGTGCCGATATGCCAATAGCACATGAGGCGTTTAGTTCAATCACTCAAATGCCACCCTTACAATGATGACTGGTTGCAACTGATCTTCAGTACACTGTCATTTGTCTTCGTACGGCACTCTAAAACTGCTGTTCGCCTATCTACTGATCTTGTCCTCTCACTTGTATCGTTGTCGTCTTCTTGCTACCACACCTTTCATTTTGTCTTCTAGAATGTTTATTATTTACAGTTTTGCTTATGTTTTTATATGTGGCTGAAATGTTTCAGTGTCTGTCTAATGTAAAAAAAAATTTATGTCAGCAAGTCTCATCAACAGCCTGTCACAACCCAGCTGCTTACTCTCTAAGGTTTTTAATTATTCACGAATGTTTAAAGCACCCTCCCCCCTTTCCCTTCACCACCACACACAGCATGGCAGCCTGTAAGATTATCATTTCAAACATAAGAATCAAACAGGTTCAAAGCCCAGCAACCATATTCAACCGCATAGCCATATAGCACTGTTATTTCGGATCATCCCAAAAAAACTGTTAGGATTTAACCTGTGGCCCGATGAGGTAAGTTAGAGTTTTTTAGCGTGTGAAATCAAACAAACGCATTAATAGAGTTAGCACTGTAAAGTGCTTATGTCCTGAATGTTGCAGAGTTGGCCCTATAGAAGAAAGGCAGACCAGGGAACTTTTGTTGATGAGTTTTATGTCGTCGGATAGACTGAGATATCGCTCGTGAAGAATTTTTTATAATCAATTCTAGAAGTAATTACATTTTCCTACAAGTAAAAAATTAATAAATTTCTTCTGGCGATTGTGTGTACCAATATTTATGACGTTAATTTAATAACTTACCTTATTTTATTTAGGCTTATATATACACCAATGCCAATATTAATATGTCTGCTAGTAACTAGTTAATTAGTTTTTAAATCGTTTACAATACTAAGTATACGCTACTTCTTGTTAAGATTTGAGAAAAACAAGGTAAACAGCCAGTCAGAGGCCCTGGAGGTCAAAACAGAGCTGCTCTGAGTAATGATTACTGGATAGATTTAGATTAGTTTTAAGTAAGAATGTAATTTCTTGCAGAAAAGAGTTCTAGGCACCCAAACACATTACACCAGATTTATAGTGCCTGACACTTATTTACAAATCTCACACACACACACACACACACACACACATATATATATATATATATATATATATATATATATATATATATATATATATATATATATATATATAAATATATATATGATGTTAATCTGTATATTTGTTTTTACTGTCATGGTTTTCACCATTATCTAGCTACTACAGTTTCGGAAATTAGCGATCTTTTCGACAATTTCCGTTACCATAGAAACCGTTTGAAACTTGTTTCGGAAATGTCGGCTGGGGTTTCGGGATGGGTCCTAATCTCTCATGAAATTTTGCCATTGGTGTGATTTTCACACACTCTAAATAGCTGAAAACGGCGGGAAGGAACTCGATTAACAGCGCATGTCTACGACAGCCGGACATTCTCTGTTTTTCTGTTAGTCTATCAGTTAGATTAAAAATAGCGGTAAATTCGAGGTTGGTTTAGGCCTTAAACATTACCAGATGTGGTAATGCTAGTTACAGTTGAATTCTCCATCCAATTTTACATTTGCATATAAAATTTCTTTCCCGTCTTTGGCTGTTTAGATTTACAGTGACATTTTTTAGTCAATCGCATGCGGCTGAGTGAGCTGAGTCTCACTGCCTGCCATCTTGTCCAATGACAGTCCAATGTCAACAAAGCCGATACAGAACTGCGCAGTAGGTTGCGCAGAGAAAAACTTCTTGTTTCTGGGTCACAAGTTTTAGCGGCTGTTTCTTACATCTCATCTCCACAAAAACCTACATATTTCAGCTCAGAAATGACATACAAGCCTAAATGAGGTACCATTGGAAAGAGATTGTTTACAGCTATCTAACTGTGCTGGTTTTTTTGGTGTAGAGGGCATTTTAAAAATTTGACTGAAGTACCTACATTATCATGTATCATTTTTTTAGTTGATATTAAAATACCTTTTCTTCATGCTACCAGTGTCAGACGTGGACCATTATTAAAACTAATGATCACCAAATCATAATAACTGAGATAGAAAGTTATAGAAAATGGCTATTTAGCTGGCGGTGGGCAGGCAAAATTTGTCCCACAGAGGCCTAACAAAGGGCTCGGGATCACCTGCCAGTTGTATTAATGATCTTTCTATTCTGGAGTAAGGGCTTCTGCCATTTTCCAAAATGTTGACCCTTAAGTAAACTTAGTTGAATCATCCTGTTTTAGAAGAGCTTCCAAAATAAAAAATAAAAAACGGGCAAATTAAAATGAAGAAATGAGAAGAAAACTAGGACCAAAACAAGTCATACAATTCATTAAAGAGAAGCTGATGAAATGGTTTGGCTGTCTGACAAAAATGCCCTGATGTTACCACAGAAAGCCGTGCTGAAGAAATATAACAAACACAGAGCAAGAGAAATAGAAAGAGCAAACAGATGATCCTCACACTCCCCCCCCCCCGACTCCAACAGTATTCAATGAGGTAACTGGGGGGAAGATAAGCAGAAGAAGAAGTAGAAGCTATTTTGCTTTTTAAGTGTAAGCCCTCAACCAGCTCACATTAAACCCTTTGTAGACTGTACTGTTTGTTATTCTTCTTCTTCGCGTTCACCAGTTATACACTCTGGCGGAAAGTTCTGGTTGCTCGTCCACTACTGAACTGCAGTCCTGCTCCAGAACCTGAGTGTTGCTTGTGCATCAGTTTTACAGATCTCATTCTCTTGAATACAGACTGTTGGTTCCTTGCCTCTCCGGCAGATGCACTCCGACTTCAAAGGAAGCTCCCCAATTAGTCGACTCTTACGACATGCTTTTGGGGAGGCAGTGGGTCTATTTTTGTTTCCCCACAATGGGGCCCCGGAACCCACACAGGGAAATGTTTGTAATTGATTTATTTGCAGTTACAGTTTTTGGCTATCCTCCGAATAATGGTCCTCAATTATCCAGGCCAAAAATATACCCTAACAGGGACTTGGTCACATGTAAATTGGGAACCTCTTTCCAGCAACTATACCGCCACCGCCGAGAGTATCCCCTGCGCCGCTACGTGCAGCGCAGAGGGGGCTAAATTAGATGGCTGGGATTCACAAGCAAATAAAATGAAGGAAGCTGCAGGAGATGCAGTAGCTGCTGCTCATGAGTCCCAGCCATCTAGTCTAGCTCCGCGCTGTGCGTAGCGGCACAGGATAAGCTCTCAGCGGTGACTTTAACTCAGTGGAAGCTTTTCCTTAGTATGCTGGGTAGTCGCCGGAAATTTACATTTGACTGAAGCCGTGTTAGGGTATACTTTCGGCCTTGATAATTTGGGACTGTTATTCGGAGGATAGCCCAGTTTTTCTTATGAGATGAGGTTGCCAGTGTCCTGCCAAAACTAATTATGTGCCTATTGTGACATGAGTGATATCTTATAATTTTATCTTACTACTCTCTGCTATACCTATAGACTAACCCGTTTATTGAGAACCTCAAAATATTGTTAAATATTCACACAGTATTTATTTCAACAATGTGAATTTAATTTTCTCATTTTTTTTAAATTATAGAAAATGGCATTAAATGGTTGCTTGATGAAATCAGCCCTGAACACCCATTCATACAGTCTAGTTCTACGAAGAAACAACTGGGCGAAAAATTTGACGAAAAGAGAGGCCAAAAAAGCAGTGGTCATCGATTATGTGGGGGAAAATGCTGAGAGGACACCAATAATTTATGCATGGGGTTCTGCTGCTTCTGGAGCTCTGGGTAAGACATGTTGTTATCAATATGGAATATCATCACTGTATGGAATAAGAGCAAGTATTTTTCGCACAGAAAAGAATGCATAAAGCAGTGTTGGTATCTTTCTTTACTGACTCTATTTCCCCAAATAAGTTCCATGGCCCCATTGTGCATAGATAGAACCACTGCTTCCCTAACAAACAAATCATAAGAGTCGAATAATTAGTGGTTTACTTTGAAGTCAGAATGCCTGCGTGGTAATGAACCAGCAGTCTGCATACCAATAAGCCAGACCTGTAAAATGGATATGCACATAAAATTCATGTTCTGGAACAAGACTAAAGTCTAGAAGTGGATGAAAAACCATAACTTTCTGCCAGAGTTTACAGTCAGTGAATGCGAAGAAGAAGAAAAAGAAGAGTTGAGTTGAGTTGAGTCAAGAATTGACATCACAGCACTCAGGGCATTCCAATGTGTGCTCCATCCTCATCTTCAGCAGCCAGTGCAGAGTTTCAATACTTGTGGTACTGCTCACAATCTGGTTATCTGTCCGTCTTGCCTTTCCTCTGAGTGTAGTGAGCCGGCCAGACCCTCTGGTAACACCCAGGTGCCTCATTCTCTCCAGGCCATAATCTTCTTTCTCTACTGATTCCATTGCTTGTTAACAAAGGGCCTGACCACACCTGCCTTGAGAAAGAGAAGAAGAGTGCCTGTATTTATAACTTTTTAAGGATGATGTAGGACAGAGAGGGGAGTAAAGGTTGGGAAGAGGGGGTAATGAGCCTGAGAATTTTGTGCCGTATGACTTGGACAGGTAACACAAACCATGCAGGTTGGCATTTTTATTGATTATCCCCAAAACCCCCCTAGAACTCACACGGCTAAGAGTGAGAAAGATAGACTGAGAAGCCTGGCAGTCAACATTAAATGCTGAAATTGTAATTGATTGATTTGTTGATAGATACAATAGTGTACGCAGTCCCTCATAGGATAATTTAGTGGATCTGTACTTTGTAAAGTTATAAGAATAATTGAACCTGATTAGATCTACCTTTCACACCAGCTATTGTTTGTACATCACCAAATATTTCTTAATATTTGACAGGTATTGCCAGCTACCTGCGTCCTGATGTCAAGTTTAAGCATGGTCGATTCGTCATCTCAAGAATTAATCGACCAGCACGTGTCAGATTTTTTGACATCCACAAGTTGAAGGTAAGTGTTTACTTTTTGGGGTAGTTTAATAAATGTTCGGGAAGTCTCAACTCTGGTTTCTTCTTCTGCTTTTGCTGATGCTTCTCCTCCAAGGGCAGGTTTGTAAAGATGGTTCATCCCTCGAATATGTGGCAGTCTCCCCCCTCCCCCTTCCACCCTCATTTGCACAAATTTGATTGCAAAGAGTAAGTCAGAAAGAAAAATGCCTAGCGCTGTTGATAAGAACTTTGAGAAAAACATCCACATAAATCAAAGGGTCGCAAAACATTAATGAAAGAAATCATCAGCAGCTGGTCATTTAGTGTCCAGATATCAGTGTGATGGTTGACACTGTTTTGTATTGATAATCTCTGTGTGGGTTTTATGGGGAAAACAAGAATAGACCCACTGCCTACCCGTAAGAATCGACTAATTGGGAGCTTCCTTCGAAGTTGGTGTGCATCTGCCTTAGAGGCAAGGAACCAACAGTCTGCACATAAATGAGCCAGATCTGTCAAATGGATGCACATGCAGCACTCAAGTTCTGAAAGTCCAGAAGTGGATGAACAACCAGAACTTTTTGCCGGAGTTTACAGCCGGTGAACGTGAAGAAGAAGAGTATTACTGATATCTTACTGATGTTGGACAAGGCAACAAGAATACTGAGTAAATTTTTTTTTAGCATAACAGATTATTACAAGTACAAATGTACTCAGCCTCATAATTTGTAAACCCCCCCCCCCCCCCCTTCCCCCCCTTCCTTCCTTCCATTTCTATCCCCAAATCCTTTTAAAACTTCCTTGCGCCCCAGAAGTGGATGAACAACCAGAACTTTCCGAGGGAGTTTGCAGCCGATTAATGCTAAGAAGAAGAAGCAGAAGAACTTACTTTTTAACTCATTTTTCCACTCCCTCATCCTATTTTCTGTGTGCCCATTCACTGGCTGTAAACTCCGTCATAAAGTCATAGGTATTCCTCAACCTCCAGACTTGAGTCTTGTTCCAGAACCTGAGTTTTGCGTGCACACACATCTGGCTTATTTGAATGCAGACTCTTGGTTCCTAGCCCCTCAAGCAGATGTAGTCCGACTTCAAAGGAAGCCCCCAATTAGTCGACTCCAATGACCTACTTGTTAGGGAGGCAGTGGGTCTATTCTTGTTTTCTTGACAGTGGGGCCCCTGAACGTACACGGGGAAGACTTAAACTGATCCATCAAGCTCAGAGATCAATGTGTCTAACTTTAGCAAACAGTCAGTGTTGACTCAATATGGATATTTTATCATTATAATCATGTTTATCAGTCTTGATTGTATATGCAAATTCTACAACAGCAGCCACAATTTGGTTCAATGAATTGACCTTTACATCTGTTTAATTTTATCCTTGTTTGGGTTCTAGGGCCCAGTTTTGATGGCTAAAAATAGACCCTCTGGCCCTTAACAGACGTGTCATAAAAGGCAACACATTAAATGTGTGCAGAAATCAGATATATTTGGCAGAAAGGCACAGGTATCGCAGCTTCACTGTAAACCACAACAAAACACACCAGCTGCCCATTTAAGGGGGAATGCAGAAAAAAAAAAGAGAGATATCAAATTATCATTACAGATTATTCCCCATCTGAGTTCCAGACCGTAGTTTAGGGGAAAGAAGAATAGACCCACTACCCCTCTTCCCCTCACCCCCATCAAGCTTATTGTAAGAAGTGACTAATTAGGGGTTGCATCTGCTTGAGAGGCGAGGAACCAATAGTCTGCATACAAATAAGCTTGATCTGTAAAACAGATGTGCATGCAAAATGCATGATGTGGAATAAGACTAAAGTCCAGAAGTTGACAAACAACCAGAATTTTCAAACAGATTTTACAGCCGTTGAATGCTAAGAAGAAGAAAGAAGATTTATTGAATAATATTACAGAACTTGTCATTGATTGGTTCTTTGTGTAAGCTACAAATGACGTTCTTCTGCAGCCTTTAGACATTGCTTGTGGATATGGGTTTACAGTTGTTGCGGTCAAAGTTGGGAGCAGAAAAATATTGCTGGGAACTGGGATGAACACGGATTCCCAACTTGGTTACCATGAGGCTCCACGAGGGTCAGGTAATAAAGATTTTCATATATTTATTCAGGTGCATTGGAGCCCACAATATCGTTGATGTCTCTCCAATACGCTCTGAACTTTAATATTTTAATGAAGTTGGTGTTACTTATTATGGCAGACGAGCAATGGACCATGCTGAGACACTAAATGCTTTGTGAGAAGTAAGACGTTTGTGGGAATCAAGCGAAGCGAAAGAAGAATAAGAAACCAATACAGAACTGATGTCTTATGTACTGGACACTGCAGACTCAATAAACACTCATATAAATTGGGTATGAGCCAAACAGCTCTCTGCCAGTGCCTTTGGGCTGAACAGACTCCAGAACATGTTCTGCAAGACTGTCCTCTTCTGGCAAAGCTGCGGAGCAACATATGGCAACACCCAGTAGAACTGACAACTAAGCTTTAGGGAAACCTAAGAGACCTTGAAAAGACATCCCAGTTTATGACCCACAGTGGATTATGCGCATGACCAGAGATAGGTGAAGAATGAGAACTGATATTATCAGCAGCTGCACACTGCAGGATGTACTGAAGAGGGAATCAGAACACTTATGGATGGGATGGTTTGAGGTGCAGTGAGGATAATTGGTCGACTTACTAACTGTTATGTTTCACGGCTGTTTAGACATACCGTATAGAGGTATTCTATTTTCTTCTGTCTCTCATCATCATCATATTGTGCCCTGCCAACTGGCGTAGGCGCTCATGCGTCTCCACAGATCACAATCCCTGGTTGACTGGAACAGCTCTCTTGATGATATCCCTCCATGCTATAGTTTCAGCTCATCCAGCATCATCTCTCTTGGTCTGCCTCTACCCCTTTTTCCACTGATCTTTCCAGTTGTCACGATGTTCACTAATGTCTGCCTCTCTTACCTGGTATTTTTCCATGCAAGGCTGATTTCTCAGTTCCATCTAATCCCTTGATATGCCCAATACATTTGATTGCTCGTCATTCGCTGTTAGTCGAGGTTCCAACACAACATCACTGCAGATGGTTCACTCCATAACTGCTCGATTCCTGTGCCAGTGGAAGTGACACAAAATATCCTTCCTGTCCCATTTGAAAACTGGTGAAAAACTTGTCAGTCCTGGCTTTGAGGCATGTTGAGTTTATGGTACCTGCCTGTTTTAGACTAGCCAGCATGTTAAGTTTATGGTGCCTGCCTGTTTTAGACTAGCCAGCATGTTAAGTTTATGGTGCCAGCCTGTTTTAGACCAATTAGCATGTTGAGTTTATGGTGCCTGCCTGTTTTAGACTAGCCAGCATGTTAAGTTTATGGTGCCAGCCTGTTTTAGACTAGCCAGCATGTTAAGTTTATGGTGCCTGCCTGTTTTAGACTAGCCAGCATGTTAAGTTTATGGTGCCTGCCTGTTTTAGACTAGCCAGCATGTTAAGTTTATGGTGCCTGCCTGTTTTAGACCAATCAGCATGTTGAGTTTATGGTGCCAGCCTTGTATTAGACCAATCAGCATGTTGAGTTTATGGTGCCTGCCTATTCTAGACTAGCCAACATGTTAAGTTTATGGTGCCAGCCTGTTTTAGACTAGCCAGCATGTTGAGTTTATGGTGCCTGCCTGTTTTAGACCAATCAGCATGTTGAGTTTATGGTGCCAGCCTTGTATTAGACCAATCAGCATGTTGAGTTTATGGTGCCAGCCTTGTATTAGACCAATCAGCATGTTGAGTTTATGGTGCCAGCCTTGATTTTAGACCAATCAGCATTTTGAGTTTATGGTGCCAGCCTTGTATTAGACTAGCCAACATGTTGAGTTTATAGTGCCTGCCTTGTATTAGACCAATCAGCATGTTGAGTTTATAGTGCCTGCCTTGTATTAGACCAATCAGCATGTTGAGTTTATGGTGCCTGCCTTGTATTAGACTAGCCAACATGTTAAGTTTATGGTGCCTGCCTGTTTTTAAAACAAGCCAGCATGTTGAGTTTATGGTGCCAGCCTTGTATTAGACTAGCCAACATGTTGAGTTTATAGTGCCTGCCTTGTATTAGACTAGCCAACATGTTAAGTTTATGGTGCCGGCCTGTTTTAGACTAGCCAACATGTTAAGTTTATGGTGCCGGCCTCATGTTAGACTAGCCAGCATGTTAAGTTTATGGTGCCTGCCTGTTTTAGACTAGCCAGCATGTTAAGTTTATGGTGCCTGCCTGTTTTAGACTAGCCAGCATGTTAAGTTTATGGTGCCTGCCTGTTTTAGACTAGCCAGCATGTTAAGTTTATGGTGCCTGCCTGTTTTAGACTAGCCAGCATGTTAAGTTTATGGTGCCTGCCTGTTTTAGACTAGCCAGCATGTTAAGTTTATGGTGCCTGCCTGTTTTTAAAACAAGCCAGCATGTTGAGTTTATGGTGCCAGCCTTGTATTAGACTAGCCAACATGTTGAGTTTATAGTGCCTGCCTTGTATTAGACTAGCCAGCATGTTAAGTTTATGGTGCCGGCCTCATGTTAGACTAGCCAGCATGTTAAGTTTATGGTGCCTGCCTGTTTTAGACTAGCCAGCATGTTAAGTTTATGGTGCCTGCCTGTTTTAGACTAGCCAGCATGTTAAGTTTATGGTGCCTGCCTGTTTTAGACTAGCCAGCATGTTAAGTTTATGGTGCCAGCCTTGTATTAGACTAGCCAACATGTAAAGTTTATGGTGCCTGCCTGTTTTAGACTAGCCAACACTGTCTATGTCTCATCTTATTGTGATCTTCTTTTACCTTGTGCTGTCGAGGTAAGAAATAATTAACAGAAAAGTGTCTGTGTACTTTGTATATGTGGATTCTGTTTTTTCCCTCTCCATTGCTTGCATCATCAGCCTATTCTTCACTTCCCGCTTGGCCTGTGCAGAATTGCTTGCTTTGGTTACTACTTGTTGACATCTGTGTTATGTGGCCAGACCATTTTACCTGTTGTCTCCTAATAAAATCCAGAGCTGCTGCTAACCCAGTTTTCCTTTGGATTTCACAGTTTCTGTTCTGCTCTTTTCTTGTTATATTAAGAACCCTTTTTATAATCTCATTTCAGTTGTTGTGTTTTTTTTCTCTCTTTCTGTCATTGTCCAGGTCTGGCATTGATAGCACAGGGTTGGCAAGAAGATTGTGTCATAGAGTACACTTTTGGTTTCTACTGACACATGTTTGTTTGTGTTCATGATATGGTTGCATTTACTTCCCTTGAAAATTCCCTGTACCTATTTGTTACTGTGACATGACTCTAAATCCTTTTGGACACTAGATAGGAATCTGTGGAGGAAATGCAGCTAATCTGGACTTAATCTCAGCCAGGTCTTAGGTTTGAAATCTGCAACAATGTATATTTTTCATAGTTGTCATTGACTTCCAGGGCAACCCAGGCTTAACATTGCTACCAGGAAATGTACAGGGAAGTTAAGGCAACTGACATGATAATGACCACATCACACATTGAGCGTCAGTTGGTCTATAAAACTGAATCTAACATCATATGCCACTAGTATGGAAAGGTTTTTTTTACTCTTCCAAAATATTTCTTTCTGTTTGTGGTAACTCAACAATTGTACCATGAACAGGTCGAGTATTGGACCAGCTTATAGAGCCTGGTCGAATTCGCTTACCGCTGTTGAAACCTGATGATTGTAATGTCGTTACAATGGATTGTGGACGGGCTCATACAGTTGTGGTTGTAGAAAAAGAAGGAGGTGAGATCACATGTTTCTATTGTTTTGTGTGTGTCTGTCTGTAACTCTTAGAAATCATTAAATTAACTAGAATTTGAATAGGCTAGACTCTGTATGTGGGTTCCAGGACCCCATTGTGGATGATTGGCACCTTTTTTGTCTTTCCAGACGATAGTGTTATATTGTGCTATGAGGGGGCATGAGACTCACAGCCTATGGCGATGGTGAGTGGGACTGGCAAGACCTGCCTGTGTTGAGAAAAGTCTACCACAATTATAACATGGGATTTCAGGAATTACCATTGTGGAGGGAAACTAGAATAGACCCACTGCCTGCCCCAAAGCATGTCATAAGAGTCAACTAATTGGGAGCTTTCTTCAGAGTCAGAGTGCATCTGCCTGAGAGGCAAGGAACCAGCAGTCTACATACAGTGGAGTGAAATGTGTAAAACGTTTATATGCACGCAACACTCAGGTCTGAAACAGGACTAGAGTCTAGGAGTGGACGAACTACTAGAACTTTCCAGCATAGTTTACAGCCGGTGAGCATGAAAAAGAAGAAGAAAAACAGAGAAGACACAAACAGTAAATTGCACATGTTGTTGCCTGGTATCTTGCTCTGCACTTAATCAGGTGCATATTGCATTAACAGTTGAATACAGTAAAGCATGTAAATGAATTCTTTGAACAGAAAAATAAAATCAGCAACACTCAAATGTAACTGCCTGTTTCACCAGGGCAAATGCAGATTCATGACCATTTTATTTTTGTGCACAAATTTAGACAAGCGTTCATTGTGGTTGCTTCTTACAAGTGTTGCATTCTGTAATTTGTCTGCATGTACAAAACGTAAAAATACGGTGTCCTGGTTTACTGTATTGGCTTAATTCAATAGGTGGCATCCAATGGAAGAGGAATCATTGTTTCTACCCGTCTCCTGAACCATGCTTGTTGAATTATTAATGTTGTCTTTGTTTTTATTTTTTATTACTAGAATTTTGTGGATTAAATTGATCTGTGTTTGACAGAAGCAGAAAAGAATTTACCGGATCATAGTAGATTAACTATGTAGAGAGGATGATGCTGTTTTCTTTATCTCAAAGTCGCTACTGTGTGCCACTGGTAATCCTGTCTGTCCATAGGTTTATATTTTGTGTACCGGTGATACTTCTTATAAACGAAAGAATCAATAAAGAATTGAATCATTGCACTCAAGGCATTTCTACACTCTGTTTCTTCATCTTTGATCCTTCTGTCAGAAAATGTATATCAGGAGTCCAGTAGCCTTTATGAAAGCTTTTGTGCAGTCCATTTTTTTCTTAGGTACCATACAACTTTGTTTTCATTGTGGTTGGAACAGACCAGATTGTTTTCCTGTAGTCAGCATACAGTTGACACTTTTGGAGCAAAGCTGCAGGGAGGTATTTCCTACACCAAAAAGTTTGAATACATGTTGACGAAGTCTGTTGTGCCATGTCCTTTGTCTGAATATAATCCATTGTCCCTCTCTAAAGAGGCGATGAAGAAAGTCTTGAGGAGAGAGTTTGGTGTGTGTATCCAGCCACCTTTCTTGAATACTAGAATGTGTTAATGTCCTAGTTTCTTGGTGGGTTAAGTCGCTATTTGGCTGCACCATATCACTGCTGCTTCTGGCCAGTCTGTCCTCTATTTCTTGTCTTCCAAGCCACAGTGACCTGGAATCCACTACAGTACAGATTGTTCTACGGAAGAGCTAAGTGAGTCAGCTGTTTTGTCAATTTTACAAATGCCGTTTGGTCCATTAAATATAGGTCAAGCCCTATATGCCCAATACGCTAAAGGCATAGAGAAGGGTCCTTTACTATATTCCCTAAATGGTTAATGTTAAAACTTGATTATCTAATTAGTTAACGTTAACAAGAATTCATTCTCTGTTTAGTTGATGTTGCCAAAAAAATACATTCACTATTTAGTTGAAGTGAAAACAAATTACTTCACTAATTAGTTGATGTTGACACATATTCTTCATTATGAGATTGATGTTTGACCATTTATTGAACTTTTCCTGTGACTCTCCAGCTTTCAGTTTAGGAAACAATGCCTGTGGTCAGTGTGGCCGCACAATTGTGGACGGGGAGGATTATGGGTGAGTGATGTGGTTGTACATCAGCGAGTTATATGTACAATTTTATGAATGAGTTATATCTTCTACTTCTTCTACTTCGCGGTCACCGGCTGTAAATTCCAGGTGAAAAGTCCTGGTTGTTTGTCCACTTTTGGACTTAAGTCTTGTTCCATCGCCTGATTTTGACATGCCAATCTGTTCTACAGACCTAGTTTGTAAAACAGATGGTTTTATGCCTGGCAGGCACTCTAACTTCAAAGGAAACCAATAATCAGTTGACTATTGTGACATGCTTGTTAGGGAGGCAGCGGATCTATTAGTCTTCCCCCTCTTACAATGGGACCGTGAAACTCACGCGTGGAAATCAGTTGTGTGAATTTGTATGAGCGAGCTGTATTGATTTGTATGGTTGAGTGTGTATTGTTGTGTGTGTGATTGTATATAAACTGGCGTATATGCACCCCATATGCTGGAGGCAATCACTGCAGCTCTGAAGTGGATAGCAGAAAATAGAATTACCAGAGAAATTACATCCATTTGTATGGGTTGGTTGCATACATATATATGGGTGGGTTAAATAGATTTGTATACGTGGATTGCATGCATTTATTCAAGTGCGTAGCACACACTTGTTGACAGGTCTCACACACTTGTGTGAGTGAGTTGCACACATTTTGTGTGTGTTGGGATGCAAAGCACAACATTGTGTGGGTGGGTTGCATATTTTTGTATGGGTGGGTTGCATACATTTGTGTGGGTGGTTTGCACACACCGGTGAGTTGTATACACTTGTATGAGTGGGTCATGCACATTTGTATGAGTGGGTTGTACACACTTGTTTGATTTGAGTTGCACACATTTGTATGAGTGGGTTGCACACACAGGTGGGTGAGTTGCCTGCATTTGTATGCCTGGGTTGCACACATTTGTATTGATGGGTTGCATACACTTGTATGAGTCAGTTGCACACACTTATATGGGTGGCTCGCACACATGTGTATAGGTGGGTTGCTGACACCTATGGGTGAGTTGCACATATTTGTATGCTTGAGTTACACACTGTTGCATAGGTGGCTTACACACTGTTGCATAGGTGGCTTACACACATTTGTACAGGTCCATCATTACATTTGTGTGAATCTGTCACTTGTAGTATTTCTGATATGTTTCATGTCTTTGTGTCGGCTCTGACATTAAGTCGATGCGAACGCTTCCTAATGCCGGGATGCCGGGTTTGATCCCAGCTGCGGGCCATGCACTTTGCGTTGGTTTCGACATTGGTATCAGGGGGCCGACCATCCAGAAGGCAATGGCAAACTACTGGATGTAAATTTGCCTAGAGAAATCACACAACAGACAGGGGCTGCTGGGGTTGGTTCTGCAACGTCCTGTAAAGGATACGCAACTAACCTTTTTTTTCTTGTCTTCACAGTCAGTTCTGTTGTATGGAGCAGAAACATGTTGAATAGCTGAAACACATGATGTATGAGTGAATTTCACAAATTCGTGTTAGTGAGGTACATATGTTTGTGTAGATGAGGGGTTTGCATAAAGCTGGACTACTGTAGATGTAATTTTATCTGACACCCCTAAATTTTTGTTGTTGGAATAACCTGTCAACTTTCTGTCTGCAGGAAAAACCAGACTGTTAACAAAATTCTGGGGGTGCCAGATGATGTTGTTAAGGTACTGTATATATGTGTCATCATAAATTGAAATATAAAAGTCCTACTAGTATCGAGGCAAAGGCACCATACTGTTGGTCTCAGTTCACATCCCTCCCTGAGGTGGGCTTTTGTTTCCAGTCCCACATGCCTTCACAGTCAGTTCTGCTACATGGAACAGAAACATGTTGAATAGCTGAAACAGTTACTCTTAAACTACAAACATTCATTAACAAGAGTTGGTGCAAAATAGAAAGGATTACCTTTTAAGACGCTTTCGTGTGTAAGACCATCCCTATTATTTGTAGCTAAGAAAGAAATATTTTAAACAGTTCCATGTATAAGGTGACCCCTAGTTTTGAACGTAAAGAATTTTGGGAAAACATGTCATCTTGCACACAGGAAAATATGGTAAATGATCTGACATAGTCACTGCTTGATGATAAAGACATGATTGCATGGTGAAGACATGCATGTATGGTGAAGACATGACTGTATGGTGAAGACATGGCTGTATGGTGAAGACATGCCTGTATGGTGAAGACATGCCTGTATGGTGAAGACATGGCTGTATGGTGAAGACATGCCTGTATGGTGAAGACATGCCTGTATGGTGAAGACATGGCTGTATGGTGAAGACATGACTGTATGGTGAAGACATGGCTGTATGCTGAAGACATGCCTGTATGGTGAAGACATGGCTGTATGGTGAAGACATGCCTGTATGGTGAAGACATGGCTGTATGGTGAAGACATGCCTGTCTGCTGAAGACATGCCTGTATGGTGAAGACATGCCTGTATGGTGAAGACATGCCTGATGGTGAAGACATGCCTGTATGGTGAAGACATGCCTGTATGGTGAAGACATGGATGCATGGTAAAGATATGTCTAAATGGTGAAGACATGTCTGTATGGTGAAGACATAGATGCATGGTGAAGATATGCCGGTATGGTGAAGACATGGATGCATGGTGAAGACATGCCTGTATGGTGAAGACATGCCTGTATGGTGAAGACATGCCTGTATGGTGAAGACATGGATGCATGGTGAAGACATGCCTGTATGGTGAAGACATGCCTGTATGGTGAAGACATGCCTGTATGGTGAAGACATGGCTGTATGGTGAAGACATGGCTGTATGGTGAAGACATGCCTGTATGGTGAAGACATGGCTGTATGGTGAAGACATGCCTGTATGGTGAAGACATGGCTGTATGGTGAAGACATGGCTGTATGGGGAAGACATGCCTGTATGATGAAGACATGGCTGTATGGTGAAGACATGCCTGTATGATGAAGACATGGCTGTATGGTGAAGACATGTCTGTATGGTGAAGACAAGCCTGTATGGTGAAGACATGGCTGTAAGGTGAAGACATGGCTGTAAGGTGAAGACATGGCTGTATGGTGAAGACATGGATGTATGGTGAAGACATGCCTGTATGGTGAAGACATGCCTGTATGGTGAAGACATGCCTGTATGGTGAAGACATGGCTGTATGGTGAAGACATGGCTGTATGGTGAAGACATGCCTGTATGATGAAGACATGCCTGTATGATGAAGACATGCCTGTATGGTGAAGACATGCCTGTATGGTGAAGACATGCCTGTATGGTGAAGACATGCCTGATGGTGAAGACATGCCTGATGGTGAAGACATGCCTGCATGGTGAAGACATGGCTGTATGGTGAAGACATGCCTGTATGGTGAAGATATGCCTGTATGGTGAAGACATGGATGCATGGTGAAGACATGCCTGTATGATGAAGACATGCCTGTATGGTGAAGATATGCCTGTATGGTGAAGACATGGATGCATGGTGAAGACATGCCTGTATGATGAAGACATGCCTGTATGGTGAAGACATGCCTGTATGGTGAAGACATGGATGCATGGTGAAGACATGCCTGTATGATGAAGACATGCCTGTATGGTGAAGACATGCCTGTATGATGAAGACATGCCTGTATGATGAAGACATGCCTGTATGGTGAAGACATGGATGCATGGTGAAGACATGCCTGTATGGTGAAGACATGGATGCATGGTGAAGACATGCCTGTATGATGAAGACATGCCTGTATGGTGAAGACATGGATGCATGGTGAAGACATGCCTGTATGGTGAAGACATGCCTGTATGGTGAAGACATGGATGCATGGTGAAGACATGGATGCATGGTGAAGACATGCCTGTATGGTGAAGACATGCCTGTATGGTGAAGACATGCCTGTATGGTGAAGACATGCCTGTATGGTGAAGACATGCCTGTATGGTGAAGACATGGATGCATGGTGAAGACATGGATGCATGGTGAAGACATGGATGCATGGTGAAGACATGCCTGTATGGTGAAGACATGGATGCATGGTGAAGACATGCCTGTATGGTGAAGACATGCCTGTATGGTGAAGACATGCCTGTATGGTGAAGACATGCCTGTATGGTGAAGACATGGCTGTATGGTGAAGACATGCCTGTATGGTGAAGACATGCCTGTATGGTGAAGACATGGATGCATGGTGAAGACATGCCTGTATGGTGAAGACATGGATGCATGGTGAAGACATGCCTGTATGATGAAGACATGCCTGTATGGTGAAGACATGCCTGTATGGTGAAGACATGGATGCATGGTGAAGACATGGATGCATGGTGAAGACATGCCTGTATGGTGAAGACATGGATGCATGGTGAAGACATGGATGCATGGTGAAGACATGCCTGTATGATGAAGACATGCCTGTATGGTGAAGACATGGATGCATGGTGAAGACATGCCTGTATGATGAAGACATGCCTGTATGGTGAAGACATGGCTGTATGGTGAAGACATGCCTGTATGGTGAAGACATGCCTGTATGGTGAAGACATGCCTGTATGGTGAAGACATGCCTGTATGGTGAAGACATGCCTGTATGGTGAAGACATGCCTGTATGGTGAAGACATGGCTGTATGGTGAAGACATGCCTGTATGGTGAAGACATGGATGTATGGTGAAGACATGCCTGTATGGTGAAGACATGGATGCATGGTGAAGACATGGATGCATGGTGAAGACATGCCTGTATGGTGAAGACATGCCTGTATGATGAAGACATGCCTGTATGGTGAAGACATGCCTGTATGATGAAGACATGCCTGTATGGTGAAGACATGCCTGTATGGTGAAGACATGCCTGTATGATGAAGACATGCCTGTATGGTGAAGACATGCCTGTATGATGAAGACATGCCTGTATGGTGAAGACATGCCTGTATGATGAAGACATGCCTGTATGGTGAAGACATGCCTGTATGATGAAGACATGCCTGTATGGTGAAGACATGGATGCATGGTGAAGACATGCCTGTATGATGAAGACATGCCTGTATGGTGAAGACATGGCTGTATGGTGAAGACATGGATGTATGGTGAAGACATGCCTGTATGGTGAAGACATGCCTGTATGGTGAAGACATGCCTGTATGATGAAGACATGCCTGTATGGTGAAGACATGGCTGTATGGTGAAGACATGCCTGTATGGTGAAGACATGCCTGTATGGTGAAGACATGGCTGTATGGTGAAGACATGGCTGTGTGGTGAAGACATGCCTGTATGGTGAAGACATGGCTGTATGGTGAAGACATGGATGCATGGTGAAGACATGGATGCATGGTGAAGACATGCCTGTATGGTGAAGACATGGATGCATGGTGAAGACATGCCTGTATGGTGAAGACATGGATGCATGGTGAAGACATGGATGCATGGTGAAGACATGCCTGTATGGTGAAGACATGGATGCATGGTAAAGACATGCCTGTATGGTGAAGACATGGATGCATGGTGAAGACATGGCTGTATGGTGAAGACATGCCTGTATGGTGAAGACATGCCTGTATGGTGAAGACATGCCTGTATGGTGAAGACATGTCTGTATGGTGAAGACATGCCTGTATGGTGAAGACATGGATGCATGGTGAAGATATGCCTGTATGGTGAAGACACGCCTGTATGGTGAAGACATGCCTGTATGGTGAAGACATGCCTGTATGGTTAAGACATGGATGTATGGTGAAGACATGCCTGTATGGTGAAGACATGCCTGTATGGTGAAGACATGCCTGTATGATGAAGACATGCCTGTATGGTGAAGACATGGCTGTATGGTGAAGACATGCCTGTATGGTGAAGACATGCCTGTATGGTGAAGACATGGCTGTATGGTGAAGACATGGCTGTGTGGTGAAGACATGCCTGTATGGTGAAGACATGCCTGTATGGTGAAGACATGGCTGTATGGTGAAGACATGGATGCATGGTGAAGACATGCCTGTATGGTGAAGACATGGATGCATGGTGAAGACATGCCTGTATGGTGAAGACATGCCTGTATGGTGAAGACATGCCTGTATGGTGAAGACATGCCTGTATGGTGAAGACATGCCTGTATGGTAAAGACATGGCTGTATGGTGAAGACATGCCTGTATGGTGAAGACATGGCTGTATGGTGAAGACATGCCTGTATGGTGAAGACATGGCTGTATGGTGAAGACATGGATGCATGGTGAAGACATGGATGCATGGTGAAGACATTCCTGTATGGTGAAGACATGGATGCATGGTGAAGACATGCCTGTATGGTGAAGACATGGATGCATGGTGAAGACATGGATGCATGGTGAAGACATGCCTGTATGGTGAAGACATGGATGCATGGTGAAGACATGCCTGTATGGTGAAGACATGGATGCATGGTGAAGACATGGCTGTATGGTGAAGACATGGCTGTATGGTGAAGACATGCCTGTATGGTGAAGACATGCCTGTATGGTGAAGACATGCCTGTATGGTGAAGACATGTCTGTATGGTGAAGACATGCCTGTATGGTGAAGACATGGATGCATGGTGAAGACATGCCTGATGGTGAAGATATGCCTGTATGGTGAAGACACGCCTGTATGGTGAAGACATGCCTGTATGGTGAAGACATGCCTGTATGGTGAAGACACGCCTGTATGGTGAAGACACGCCTGTATGGTGAAGACATGGCTGTATGGTGAAGACATGCCTGTATGGTGAAGACATGCCTGTATGGTGAAGACATGCCTGTATGGTGAAGACATGGCTGTATGGTGAAGATATGCCTGTATGGTGAAGACATGCCTGTATGGTGAAGACATGCCTGTATCGTGAAGACATGCCTGTATGGTGAAGACATGCCTGTATGGTGAAGACATGCCTGTATGGTGAAGACATGCCTGATGGTGAAGACATGCCTGATGGTGAAGATATGCCTGTATGGTGAAAACATGGCTGTATGGTGAAGACATGCCTGTATGGTGAAGACATGGCTGTATGGTGAAGACATGCCTGATGGTGAAGATATGCCTGTATGGTGAAGACATGCCTGATGGTGAAGATATGCCTGTATGGTGAAGACATGCCTGTATGGTGAAGACATGCCTGATGGTGAAGACATGCCTGATGGTGAAGATATGCCTGTATGGTGAAGACATGCCTGTATGGTGAAGACATGTCTGTATGGTGAAGAGATGCCTGTAAGGTGAAGACATGCCTGTAAGGTCAATTTAGCTCCATTCACTTTATATTATGATGGTTGAACTCCAGACATGGACATTTGAGATTCAGTCTTCTCTGGAAGAAAATCCAACCCCAATGCTTCTTTTTCTTTTCAGCATTTACTGGCAGTAAACTCCGGTAGAAAGTTCTGGTTGTTCATTCACTTCTGGACTGTGTTTTTATTCCAGAACTTCAGTTGTGCATGCACATCAGTTTTACAGATCTGGTTATTCGTATGCAGACTACAAAAGACGACATCCCAGTGTAATTTTCAGGGCCCATTGTGGGGAAAACAGTAATAGATGCACTGCCATCCTAGCAAGCATGTCGTAGGAGTCTGCTAACTAGGGACTTCCTTTGAAGTTGGAGTGCATTTGCCGGAGCGACAAGGAACAACCAGCTCCACACAAATAAGCCAATGAAACTGATGTACATGCAAAACTCTGGCCCTGGTACAAAGTCAAAGTCTAAATGGACAAACAACCAGGACTTTACGCCAGAGCTTACTGCGAGTGAACAAAGAAGAAGAAGAAAATGACTACAAAAGTGACAGCTACGGGAACACTCGTACTGGACAAAGAAGATATTCTGAGGACCGTTTATAAATGAACGTGATAGAAGACACATGTTTAGATGAAATAACATACTGTAAGAATGTGTGAACAAGGTATTAGGAGTGGATCTGGCAAGGAATGGGCAAATGAGAGGAAAAGAATGACGTATGTGCTACGGGAACAGTTAGCATCTACACCTTAAGACATTTCTGCTGGAGACGGAGCACCTACGGTTATGCCAGATGTGCTATAATGTCAATTCTTAAATCAGTAACCAGACTGCCGGTTCCTCACCTCTCAGGCGGATGCGCTCCAATTTTGGAGGAAAAAATCCCTATTTAATTACCTTTTATGACATACTTGAAAGGGAGGCAGTGGGTCTGTTCCACTCAGATCCCCCCAAAAATGGTCCTTTAACTTTATTGTGGTCTTGTGGGTTCCTCATGTGATATAGTAGAATTAGTAGCTCTCGAGACTTCCTGATACACAGAATATCTCATGAGTTGTTCACCTTTGTTTCTTCTGACATGCCTGGTAGGATGTAGTGTTACAATTATTTGCTTCCCATAATGCCCCTGGTTAAAAAAAAAAGTAAAGACCTTTGATGTCAATGGCACATGGGTATATGATGCTAGACTTATGTTTCTAAAGATCAGTAGGCACACAGAAGGGGCTGAGTGGTCTTGAGTTCTTAAGGTCCTGGGTTCAGGACCCGGTGAAGGTTGGGATTTTTTTCTAGTAATTTCTTCTGGTCTCTGGGTAGTCAGATAGGATGCCCATATGTACTGTTGCGCACGCAAAAAATTCCTTGGTAGTTGGAAGTCGAAAAAAGTAGCTTAACGGCGCTGCTTTTGCAAATTTTTGGAGTTAAAAATCTTCTCAAAGTATTTCAGGATCCTTGCCGGTGCTACAGAGCTTTTGTACTGCACTGAGCTTCTTTGGACTCAGGCTTGAGTTAGAAGTAGAACAGAGCACTTATAGGTTACTACTTTTGTGCCATGATTTTGGTCTGTTGTATAAAACAGACCCAACCAGGCACACAGTGGGTTGGATGGTCAACGTCATGCCGGCTACCCTAATGTCCCCATGTATTACCTGGTACCATTTTTAGGCTGGGTTGACCAGGGAGCTAAAGTCACTTTTCAAAAACAAAGTGTTGCTTGTTGTGGATTTGAACCCAACACTTTTGAGGTTCACTGGCTGTGGTGTACAAGAATTGATTTTATTTTCTTCTTTCAAAATGTGCCAGATTTCTGACCAAATTTGGAGAAGTATTGCATGCTGAATAAGATAATTTGACATAAAATAAATGTTATCTTGCCAGGTTGTTTGTGGACAAGATCACACTCTGTTTTTGACACAGTCAGGGCAGGTCTACAGCTGTGGGTTGGGTGCAGATGGACAAACAGGTAATGTGTGTGTTTAAGCATGTGCGGTCATTTTTGGTTATAGAATAATGGAATTTCTATGTTAGCTGTCGGCTCTGTGGCTAAGTCGATGCGAACGCTTCGTAATGCCGGTATACCTTGTTCGATCCCATGCCATGCGGACCATGCGCCTTGCATTGGTTTCGACAGTGGTATCAAGAAAACCGACCGTCCAGAAAGCAATGGCAAACTACTAGACATAAATTTGCCTAGAAAAACCACACAACAGCCAGGGGCTGTTGAGGTTGGTTCTGCAACGTCCTGTAAAGGATACGCAAATAACCTATGTTAGCTGCTGCAGCTGTTGTGAACAGTTATGACCTGAGATGACTAGTTCTTTTCTCGTAACAGTTTTCGACCCCTACTCAAGAAAGTTGTATACTTTCTTTGAGCATGAATGAATGGCTGAAAACTCAGGAATTCACCAATGCATGCTTTCTCAGCGACTTGTTGAGCATGCTACAGAAGATCAAGGGGGGGGGGGCATATGGAAACAGTTAGCATCATCTGATACAGCTCACAGCATTCCGCAAAATCACCTTCATTTGTGTCCCCGGGAATGCCTGTGGATAAGGCAATGAGAGAGCAGAAATCCTGGCTGGCAGTGCGACTATCAGGAATTGGCCATCTGTGGACAGGAGAGACATTGTCAATGCCATGCAAGAGACTAAATGCTGTGAGGCTTTCAGTGATTTTTGTGTGCTAAATAGACTGCATACCCTGGGTGTACCGGAGCTGCCAGACAGGAAAACCAAGCAGGAGTCACCCATCGTTACATGAGCCATAACTGAATGGGAGTTGTTAGCCAAGAAACACTTGGAGACATACTCAGGAGATCGGAGCACTTATGGTCATGTCTTATGTGCAATGAAGATCATCTTTACATGAACAATGAGAATGGATGCTCTGGCTGATCATTTATTTTCCCTGTGTTGTTGTCAGCTGTCTGTTTATCATTCTGTTCTTTTAGTTGGCACCTCTCCGTCTTTCCAGACAATAATATTATGTTTTGCCAAAAGGAGGCATGGGGTCACAGCCCATGGCAAGTTATGTTATGTAATGTTATCATGATTGACGTCTTTGCACATTGGGCATCCCCATGCCTGCTCAGTCCTCCGATGCAGCAGCCACTCCAAGGTACCTCTACTGATTGTTCCCATGAGGAGATGGTTATTTCCCCCTGTCTTTACCTCGACGACAGCATAAATGTGCTTCACCCACCCTAACCCCTTGGTCACACAGTCGTGTTAGCGTAAAAGAATCACCATTGTGTCCCCCCCCCCCTAGTCCGTACAGTATTTATGATATTAGCTGTCTTCATGCTTTTTCCCGTTTGCATCTGTGCCTTACTTGTCATCTGGTCAGCTCCTTCATTGAGTGTGACCAGCAGGACCTGCTCACATCCCTGCTGGGAGCAACATTATGTTTATGTTAACCGAGTTAAAGGTTAAGGGTTGAAGAGAATTGACTTTGTTGCACTAGGTTTTATCTCATGTCGCTTAGTCTCTCTCCACAGAACTACTTAGCTCCGGTGATGATCTGCAGGGATCTTCAGAGCGTGAGGCAAACGGCTTGACCGCTTTGCACAGAGACCTCCCAAGTTAACCAAGTGTTTGTCTTAAGCAAGATCATGTTAATGAGGTTTTACTGTTTATCTTCTTCTCTTCTCCAGTTAACTCATTAAAGTATGTGTGTGTGTGTGGGGGGGGGGGGGGGGAGAAGAAATGTAATGATCTTCTGTTTGCTCTTTCTAATCAGTTGTTTAAATTAATCTTCATTTCTCTAAGGCTTTTCTTCATGTTGTAGTTCCATCTTTTACATTGTTGGTACCAGGGCATTCTCGCCAGATGGTGCCCTGTTTTGTCTTAGTCGAGGTTTCAACATTACTGTTTCAGGTTTTCCCATACTTGCTTTGTTCCTGTGCCAGTTCAAATCAAATGTCCCTCACTGTCTTAATTGAAAAAAACTTGTGTTTCATCTGTTGTTCTTTATTGAATTGTGTAACTGGTTTCATTCCTAGTCTTCTTCTGATTTCCTTATTTTTAATATTATTTCTTCTTTTACTTCCATCTCTTCTAAAACATATTTCTGTTATGATTTTGTGTAGTATCTAACAGCCATAATTATGTCTATACCAGTTTCTATTGGTGGTGATCATTGTCTGACTGTTGTACCTCCTCACTAGGTCAAGGACATTACAGAAACACAGACCGTCTGATGTTGGTTCAAGGTGACCTTGGGGGAGAGAAGATTGTGTCCATTGGTTCTCGAGGTGACTGCTGTCTGGCAGTTTCAGGTAGCGTGTTGTGTCAGACGGTTGGATCATTTCATTACTTGCCAGAGCAGCAGATTTGTTCTTTTTCTTCTCTTTGTCGTCTTCTCCTCCTCTATCTGATTTTTTTCTTTTCTTCTCCTTCTCCTTCATCATTTTCTTCTCATCCTCCTCCTTCATCATCTTCTCCTCCTCTTTCATCATCATCTCCTCCTCCTCCTTTATTCACATCTTCTCCTCCTTCTCTTCTTTTCCCAGTGGAACATAGGCTTGCAACCAACACAAGCCAAGCTTTTTGTAAACTTGTTTATGATTGGTTGGATTTTTTAGCTTAAGATGTGAGGGGATGAAGTTTTTTTTTTGTATTTATTTATTACGTCCTTCTTAGGACGTAATTTTTTGTTATTTGAAGCCCCACTCTGGCTTTTGCCACGGGGCCGCAATATAGGCAGGCTATACATATGGCCAATTGTCTGAACGCGGTTTCTGGGACCTCTCCACGGTGATCCTCATCCGCATGGTGGCACTTTGTGTCATCGGGTGTTTATCGCTTGTGTGATGTCCTAGTGGGGTAGAAAGTCAGTCAGTCAGTTAACGTTTAACGCTGGGGACAGTTGTTGCTGAAATTGGGCATAAACTGTTGTTTAACAACAAGGACAATTGTTAGTGGGCCTGTGTATTTGGGCATGGCAGTCTTTAATGCTGGGATGCAGTTTTGCTGGATTTGGGAAAAAACTTGATTAACACAATGCGGACTATTGTTAGTGGGCGTCCTGAGCGTGTGCATAAACTGTTGTTTAACAGCTTGGACGATCGTTTAGTGGGCTTGCTGTATTTGGGCACAAACTCTTGTTTAACAGCGTGGACGATGGTTTAGTGGGCTTGCTGTATGTGGGCACAAACTGTTGTTTAACAGCGTGGACGATCATTTAGTGGGCTTGCTGTATTTAGGCACAAACTGTTGTTTAACAGCGTGGACGATCGTTTAGTGGGCTTGCTGTATGTGGGCACAAACTGTTGTTTAACAGCGTGGACGATCGTTTAGTGGGCTTGCTGTATGTGGGCACAAACTGTTGTTTAACAGCATGGACGATCGTTTAGTGGGCTTGCTGTATTTGGGCACAAACTGTTGTTTAACAGCGTAGACGATCGCTTAGTGGGCTTGCTGTATTTGGGCATAAACTGTTGTTTAACAACGTGGATGATCGTTTAGTGGGCTTGCTGTATTTAGGCACAAGCTGTTGTTTAACAGCATGGACAATCGTTTAGTGGGCTTGCTGTATTTGAGCACAAACTGTTGTTTAACAGCGTGGATGATAATTTAGTGGGCTTGCTGTATTTGAGCACAAACCGTTGTTTAACAGCATGGACGATCATTTAGTGGGCTTGCTGTAATTGAGCACAAACTGTTGTTTAACAGCGTGGATGATCATTTAGTGGGCTTGCTGTATTTGAGCACAAACTGTTGTTTAACAGCGTGGACGATCGTTTAGTGGGCTTGCTGTATTTAAGCACAAACTGTTGTTTAACAGCGTGGACGATCGTTTAGTGGGCTTGCTGTAATTGAGCACAAACTGTTGTTTAACAGCGTGGACGATCATTTTGTGGGCTCGCTGTATTTGAGCACAAACTGTTGTTTAACAGCGTGGACGATCATTTAGTGGGCTTGCTGTATTTGAGCACAAACTGTTGTTTAACAGCGTGGACAATCATTTAGTGGGCTTGCTGTATTTGTGCACAAACTGTTGTTTAACAGCGTGGACGATCATTTAGTGGGCTTGCTGTATTTGAGCACAAACTGTTGTTTAACAGCGTTGATGATCGTTTAGTGGGCTTGCTGTATTTGAGCACAAACTGTTGTTTAACAGCGTGAAGGATTGTTTAGTGGGCTTGCTGTATTGGGCATACACTTTTTAACATTGTGGATAGTTGTTAGTTGGCTTGCTGTATTTGGACATTAATTGTTTGTTTAACAATGTGAACAAGTGATAATTGACTTTCTTTCTTTTTTGCCAGAAAATGGAGATGTGTTTGGTTGGGGCAACTCTGAGTACGGTCAGTTGGGGCTAGTTACAGACGAGACACAAGTGAATGTCGCTCGACATCTTCCACTGAAGGATTGTGGGAAGGTGGTCAAGGCTGTAGCTGGGGGATCTCAGTGTGCTCTTTTAAATGGTAAATTTGACCAATTAAATATTTACACTTTTAAATTGTACTTGGCTCGCTTAAATATTTGCACTATGAAATTGTAAACTGAATAATTCAGCTGTATGCACCTTTAACCCTTTCACCCCGTTGACCCAGGAAAAAACTCATGCCAAACAGGATTGTGGTAGTAATCAGCAGAGAACTGACTGCATTAAATCTGTCTGAGGTTTAAACAAGAGTTTTTGCATGACCCTCTTTTTGACCCTATGACTTGGCTGTCAGTTACCATGGTAACTGACGGGGAAATTTTTATGTCCTAATTTATATAAGTAAAGCCATTTTCTATGAGGAAACCTCAGCTAAATGCCATTTTTAGCAACTTTGCTCGTTGCTGATTAGTTGCTTGTAAACAAGCCACTTTGATTGTTGTCTCCAACCTTTTTCAGGCTACGCCCCCCTTTAGTTTATTTCAGTTATAATGGCCACAGACAAATCAGAAACTAATCCAGACACGGTACCAAACTTTAGAAATGAAAGGACTTCATTTTGCTAATTCTAGTTTCTGAAAACATGTTCATACAAATTTGTTTTCCCGGCACACGAAGCAATATTAGAGTGTCTCTATGAGGAGCTACTGTAGTGGCAAATAGTCTGAATGGGATGGATTCAAAAGTCACCAAAGTGGCGAATAGTCCGTAAAGAGTTGAGGATTTTCTTAAATTGAAGCGGAGAGCACATGTAAAAAGGTTATGGATAAAAGCTACTTTGCAGAAGAAGTCAGTGGCCAGATGTGCACACTTCTGAGCTCAAAAATAATAAGTAGAAGAGGTTTTTGAATGGTGAAGGCAGAAGAAATGAAGAGATGCCAAATAGATATTGTAGGGTTAAATGAAGCTAGGTGGCCAACAGCAAATAACAGAGTTGTTAGTGGGCTTACCCTTATACACTCAGGGAGAGAAGATGGAAAACATGTGGAAGGAGTAGGTTTGATGACACCCAATTCCTAGGAAAATGTTAAACATAAAATGGGATGAATTCAAGAGGGGTGAAGAAATAAGAGAAATGTCTGGGAAACCACTGATAACCCCAGTTATACAGCAAAGAAAATGGTGCTATATTGGACACATCCTGGGAAGAAATGAGCTGAGAATCACCAGAAAGATACTAAAATAAGAAATGAAATGTCCAAAAGAAACTCTACAACGAACGTTGATGAGAGAAACCAAGGGTGCTGGACTGACAAGAATAGACCTACTGCCTCCTCAACAAGCTTGTCATAAGAGTTGACTAACTGGGGTCTTCCTTTGAAGTGCACGTTCCTGAGAAGCAAGGAACCAACAATCTGCATACAATTTAGTCAGATCTGAGGTTCTGGAACAAGACTAAAGTCCAGACATGGACAAACAACCAGAACTTTCCGCCAGAGTTTACAGCCATTAAACACGAAGAAAAAGAAGAAGAAGAAGAAGAATTTTATCCATGATATAGAAAGGATTGCACAAGTTAGAATAGAGGAATAGATTGTGAGCCGTACTGTGTGACATAGCACAACAGGACAGTGGTAAGGATGAAACCAGGTTGGGCTAAAAGATGCAGGTATTGCGGCCTTGCTGTAAACCGCAACACAACATAGCAGTGACCTTTTGAGGGTGAATGCACAGGCAGAAAAAGTATAATATCTTGCACCACATAAAAATATGGAGCATATATAAATGTGAACGTTTGTATGGTATTATTAGCTAAAGCTGTGAATACTTTCAAAAATGGCCCATGTGCTTCTCACTGCAGTCTCTTTCATCTTGACCTCCCAGATCAGGGCCAAGTGTTTGTCTGGGGCTATGGAATTCTCGGGAAGGGCCCACAGCTGGAAATGTCTACTGTACCATCAAGAATCCCAGATCCATTGTTTGGTCGCAACGAGTTGTCCCCCAACACCAAGGTGGTGGATATACACTGTGGCTTGACCTACTTGTCGGCTGTGACAGGTAATTATATGTGTGTTTGGGCATGCATACATACATTTGTTCATAGCTCCGTCAGTTTGCTTTACTGGAGTTCTTAGCTTGATCTGTTGATTGTTGTTACGGGGGCCCACTTATGGGGGAAAAAGAATAGACCCAGTGTCTCCAAAATAAGCATGAGATTTAGATTCTGTGATACAGCATGTAGCGTTTTGCAAAATCACATTTATTTTTGTCCCAGGGTATGCTAGTGTGAAAGGCAATGAGAGTGCACACGGCTGGCAGTGCGACTGTCAGGAATAAGCTCTGTATGGACAGGAGAGACATCATCAACACTATAGGAGAGACTAAACCCTGTAAGGCAGTCAGTTTCGCGGAAAATGATTTTTCACTAAATTGCCTGCCGCCTCTGGGTGTAGCATTTGCAGCCGCAAGACATGAAAACCATGCAGGAGCCACCCGTCATTACAGCAACCAGAACAGAGCGGGATTTGTTAGCCTAAAAACACTTGGAGACATACTCAGGAGAAGATCGGAGCACTTGTGGTCATGTCCGATGTGCTGTGATTTCTCAAATGAACAATGAATCATTAGATTCTATGATACTGTGGTTCTTTTATTTTATATTATTCTCATACTATTGCTGGGGATTGAACCTGCACCACCAGTTTAGCAGGCGAGTGCATTAACCAGTGTACTGTTTGTCATTTCAGATCAAGGAGATGTCTACACATGGGGTCGGGACAGTCAGGGCTGTCTGGGTCTGGGCGAATACAAAAATCAATTTTTTCCATGGAAGGTAGGTCACAGAATCAAGTACATGTCAGTTTAAACAAAATATTTAAAAAAAAAATATTTTAAATTGTGTTCTTTTTCAGGAATGCAGTCTGTAGGATGAATATCTCTTACGTATTTAGTCTTGCCTGTTCTACCTTTGAGTGTAGAGGTTTGCCAGAGAGATCACCAGACGTCTCTATCTGCAGTTCTCTTGTTGGCATAGGATTAATATCTCAGAGATGAGAATCTCAAACAGGTACAAGTCCTAGAAACCCCTTTCAACTACATAACACAGTTATGTTTCCTGACAGGGTTTCAAGGCCCTGTTTAGGAAAAAAAAAAGATTCATTTCTCCCTAACTAGCATGTAAAAATTAGTTGGGTATCCTTTACATGACGTTGCAGAACCAACCCCAGCACTTTCTGGCTGTTGTGGTTTGTCAAGGCAAATTTATGTCCAGTAGTTTGCCATTGCTTTCTGGACGGTCGGCTCTCGGTACTACTGTTGAAACTAGCACAAGACAAACCATCTGCAGCAGGGATCGAACCCGGCACCAGCATTATGAAGCGCGTCTGCAACGCCTAAGCCAGCATGTAATAACAGGGACTAATTATAGTTTTGCTGAAATTGGAGGTACTGGGGCGTGAGGCTCACTATCACAGCCTAGCTGTAAACCACAACACACTGTGCCAGCTGCACTTTTAAAGGCAAATGCAGAAGAAGACAGTTATATGGGATAATAATTGGCAGGCAGATTGGCTTGCTGGCATGGATACAGGCTGATAGGTATAAGAAAAGTGATGGACTGGGCCGATATTCTCGGTGCTTTCAAGGAGGCAGGACGAGAAGATGATTCAGGAGATGACATTGAATCCCCCACACTCTAAAGACTGCAAGAATTTCAGGCCAAAAGAGTTGTTGCCAAACATGAACACTATACAGGCAGCCAAAGAAGCATAGTAAGGCAACACTGGTATTATCAACTGATATGGACTTGTCTGAGGTGCAGTAAGGATCATCTGTCGATGTGTTTCTCTCATGTCTTTAATTCTATTCTCCCTGTTTCTCTAATTTTCTTCTTTGTCAATTTTTCTCTATCTCTAATTCTCTTCTCCCTGTGTTTCTCAGTCTCAAATTGTATTATACCTCCATGCCTTTCCCTATGCTTATCTACATGGCACATGATGATGGTGATGTTTCTGATTCACATATATATCTACAGGTTGTCTTGCCAGCTGAAGCCATCAAACTTGCCTGTGGAGTGGACCACGTGGTTGCTCTATGCCGCTCTTTCACATGATGTATCTACCGTTTGATGGTGTGGTTATTGTACGTACGCTGAATGAATGAACGTAGAATAAATTATGTTGAAGCTTGTTTGCTCTTTCATACATCATGTCTGCTGTGATGTGTGTGGCTGCTTGTACGTGGTTAACTTCCATTCTTTATTAGCAAGTGTCTAGAGTTGTGTACCTGAGAATTTCTGATCCTTGGAGAAATGTGCCATCCCCTGGGATTACCTTGGGGAAACAAATTTGCCACTGATGGGTCCCTGGCAAATTCTTAGGGAAACTAAATCATAGATGATTGCCTGGAGATTTCTGGGAGAAACTTACTACAGATGGTTTCTTGGGGAAACAAACATTTCACAGAGGGATTTCACAAATATGGCATGGATGGATCTTTAACAGACTTCTTGAGCTAATAGGTATGCTAGGGATGGATCTCTAGAGACTTCTTATGGAAACAGATATCTGCCAGGGATGAATCTCTAGAGATTTTTTGGTGAAACAGATATCTGCCATGGATGAATCTCTAGAGATTTCTCTGGAAAACAGATATCTGCCATGAATGAATCTCTAGAGATTTTTCTGGAAAACAGATATCTGCCATGGATGAATCTCCAGAGATTTCTTTGGAAAACAGATATCTGCCATGAATAAATCTCCAGCGATTTCTCTGGAAAACAGATATATGACACAGTTGAATATAGAGATTTCTTGGGGAAACAAATATGCCATGGATGGATCTCTAGAGACTTATTAGGAAAACAAATATGCCACAGATGGATCTCTAGAGACTTTTTGGGGAAACAAATATGCCACAGATGGATCTCTAGAGACTTATTTGGAAAACAAAAATGCCATAGATGGATCTCTAGCCTTCTTGGTGAAACAAGCAGCTTGTTATGTCAACCCAGCCAAAAATAAATACCAAAAAATTTCCTACATCAAGACATTCCCAAATGTGCTCAGTTTCCATCATCAACAGCCAAAAAGTGCTCCCATGTTGATGATGGTAGTAGCTAGCAATCAAACATTTGTGTAAAAAGAACAGGAAAAAGTTTTTAAGACTTCTACTCCAAAGTGATTCATAGAACTGATTGTAAAAACATTACGAATTTCTGCTCAAACCAGTGATAGCCCCATGTAGATCACAAAACTGAGTTATCTATTTTTAACAGAACAATGAAAACTCTCTGCTCCACGCTAACTTTTAATTCATCAAAAACATGAGTAGCATCAATAACCAGGGGCAGTAACTGCGACAATGGCTGAACACAAAAATCTCGTTAAAAAAATTGTAAACAGGTGTCTGCCCTTGTGCAAAAGCCCAGTCCATTTATGCACCCTTTTGTACATAGGGCTTGACTAATTAACATGGAAAAATGAGAAAGAGACACCGAATTTTTGCACAAGGGCCATAAACTGAATAATAAATATCTTTTCAATGTCCACAGACGTGACACAGTATCATATAGTGTCATCCTTTTAAAACAAATTTATTCAACACTGATTGTTAGTCTGATATGAGGTTAGGCATACAGTTTCACTCCAAGAAATGCATGAATTTACAGACTGAAATGATAAGTGACACTGTAAATAATATCATTAGTTTCTGCCTGTAAAAAGTGGGTTACTTTAGGTGGTAATTGTCACCTCCCTGCCAATATGGGATGCAATTTTTAGTTATTATAAAGCCCCACTTTAGCTATTGTCGGGGGTCCTAATATAGCCTAATGGTTGAACAGGGTTTCTGGGACTCGTAGCCAGGTGATTCTCATGCAAATGTGGCACTTTGTGTCACCTGGTGTTTATCGCTCGTTGTGATATCTTGGTGAGGTTGAACGTTGATCGTTACTTTAGTAGGCAGGATTCCTGAACGCAATGCACTTTTGATAATGAAGGGAGATAATCTTACAGAAGATGCTGTTTGAGGTTGTGAAATTATAGGAATTTTTTCATACATTAGTTTATGGTTTCAGAAAGAGACATTTTACATTCTTTGGTCATGTGATGAGGAGAAAACTGATATACATCGTGACAGTAGGAAAGTTGGAGGGGAGGAGAAGAGATGCAGAGAGAAAAGATGCTGGACAATTTGTCACTAGTCACTATGGCATGAAGGATCATCGGTGTCAGAGTTGACTGACAGTAGATGAGACAGAAGATTATGGATAGACAGGACCACTAAAGTGGACTTTAGGAAGAAGTTCATAGTTGAGTGAGGAACCAAAATCTAAGCATTTGGTACATTCACACAATTACTCTGTCCGATCTTCAGCAGTGATGGGAAGAACAGCAGTTTTATCTTCTGCCCTCTGCATAACATAACCTTTGACTCCTTAGAGTCGTGGAGGTGTATCGATAGAAGCACTAGCACATAAAACCTGCCATCTTTCTCTTTCCACTTGATGAATAAGTGTATGATAACTTAGTCCTGTTCATTTTTTGATGTCGTCATTCCAGGTTCTTCTTTGCCCTTCTCTTTTTTGACTACCCCTAATGTTCTTTGAAGTACAGTCTTTGCAATTGAATCATGTCTCACCACGTGCCCAAACCAAGCTAGCTTGTGACGTTTCACCACTGCAAAGAGAGGCTCTTAATGTCGTGCTAATTTGTACATTTTGTCTCTGACATATTTATTAGTTTTGTGTTCTAAATAACTAATTCGTAAAATGCATCTATATCATTTACATTTGAAAGCCTAAATCTTCCTTTCCATTTCCCCAGTGAGAGTCCAACTTTCACATCAGCATAAGAAAATACACAATACCAGTGATTTGTATATATTGACCTTAACTGTGAAGCTGATTTTGCTCTTCTGCTCTATATTCCCCCCTAAAGAAGCATAGGCCCTCAACCAGCTCTTGCCAGGTCGTCCAATCCTTTGCAATTGCATGTAGCTTACCCCCATCTCACTATCTTTTTAAATTTAATTCCCTGGCTCCTTCTTCATGTGTTTGGTCGGCCTTTATTTCCGTGCAGTTTTATATGTCCGTCGGTGTCTGTGGCTAAGTCGTTTTGTAATGCTGGGGTGTCGGGTTCAATCCCAGCTGCCGGTGATTTTGTCTTGCGTTGGTTTTGACAGTGGTACTGAGAGTTGACCGTTCAGAAGCAGTGGCAAACTACTGAACATACAATTTGCCTAGAAAAACCATAACAGCCAAAAACTGCTGGGGTTGATTCCGCAGTGTCCTGTAAAGGATACGCAATTAATTTAACTAACTATATATTTCTAAATATTCTTTCCCCTGAGTCGACCATATTTTTTGCTCACTCCATGCCAGTAATCAGTGGTGATTTCAATGGGGGAACAACCCATGCACACGCAAAATCGGATGTTTCTCGACAAAAACAGCAACATTGGGCAGAGTAAGTCAGGAAAGGCTCTAGCTGAAACGTCACATTTTTCTTACGTATACATTGTTTCCCTTCCCTATTTGTGAAGTTTCTTAGGTGGAGTTCAGTAGATACATTTCTGGTAATAGCTTGACCGCAGTCACTCCTGTTTTCATCACTGCTTGGATTCTCTATTAGTAGTAATGGAGAGACCAATCACTGCATTTGCAAGCGAAGGTGCAGACCATCAAATCTGTATCTTCATGAAATTTCAGGAAAGTAATATGCGACATCAGGACCATGTATTGTCAAAAATAGAATTTTTTTCCTTTGTCCGAGTAATGTAATTGTGTTGTGCCTGTTAACAGCATGATTGCAATGTTTGCGCCTTTCGGCCGATACATCCAGCTTTATCGAGCACTTGTTGACCTGGTAAACTTCCATTAAAGTTTTGTGGGATATGACATATTTGTGTGGTGTCCTCTTTTTCCCCTTTTCTACAGGTGTTGCCCCTGAAGAACCCATCCATAGCAACCTCATGTAGACTGGTCAGCCTTCAAGAGGAGAAAAATGTCAACTAAACTACACAAACTTTTTCGACAGTATCGGCTATGTGCCTTTTGGTCTATCCTACATCTAGGCAAAACCCCTACCTCCTATTTGAAGGAATAGAACTATCATTGAGATTTCAGAGCATACACTTGGGAAAAGTAGCATCCCTGATTATATTCAGACTTCCCCTGTGCGGGTTCTGGGGATGGGTCTCTGACCCACTGCCCATTGAAAAGCATGTTGTAAAAGGTGACTGGTGAAGGGTTTGCTGAAATCAAATTTGTTGGATCAAAAGTCACAGATATTGCAGCCTAGCTGTAAACCACAAAATAACACACCAACTGCAAGTTTAATGGTCAATGCAGAAGGAGAAATTTAGAGTCTGACTTCCTGATGTAAACAAAATATTTTTTAAATATTTAATAACTTTATTTACATACATCTAAAATCTGACATACTTTTTTTTTAATCAACATGTGCATTAGAGCCTCCAAAAACATGGAATAATAGACAACACATGAGGAATAATTTACAAAACAAATCAGGTATATTTCTCAGTCTACTGGTAAAATGTAGCAACCATATGCAGTTAGCAGCAGGCAAGTGTACACATTAATGCACTGGTTATGTCAACAGCGATAAATATTTCATGATAAATCCACACCTTGTATGACCAACACGACTTTGAAGTTGTGTTTGGGTCAGCATGAAATGCCACATGATAAACCTGAAATGACAGTTTGTACGTGACAGATCTGAAATGTGATAAACACGAAATATCACACAACAAACCTGAAACATGACAGTTTTAAAGACTGGACTGCTGGTTTCATCCACACACATGCAGCAATAAAACAGCCAGATTAAATCTACACTTGGTTACATTCTTACAGTTGTGAAATATGACAGAATTAGTTCCAGGATGGGACAGTACGTCCTTAACAGTCGTGGGTTCGGGTCTTGACGGAACAGGGCTTTTCTAAACAAAAATTGACCTTAGCACCCAGGTCAACCCACCCTTGAGTGGGTATCAGGTGCAGTCCTTAAGTAAAGGCAGCTTGCATGTTTCACCCATGAAGTGTCGATTGGTCTATAAAATATAGGTCTAGCCCTATATGCCCAACAC